CATCTATCCTTCCACTACCATCTATCATATATCCTTCCCACTAACCATCTATCCATCTACCTTCCACTACCACTATCACAATCCTTCCACTACCATCTATCATCCTAATCTTTCCACTATACCATCTAACATCTATCTTCACTATCATCTATCCTTCCACTACCATCTATCACTATCCTCCACTACCATACTATCATCTATCTTTCCACTACCATCCTATCATCTATCCTCCACTATCACTATCCTTCCACTACCATTAATCATCTATCTTTTCCACTACACTATCATCTACCTTCCACTACCATCTATCATCTATCCTTCCACTTTCATCTATCCTTCCACTACCACTATCATCTATCTTCTCCACAACCATCTATCATCTATCCTTCCACTACCATCTTATCATCTATCCTTCCACTACATCATCATCGAGCCTTCAACAACCATCTCACTATCCTTCCACTATCACTACCTTCCACTACCATCTATCATCTATCCTTCCACTACCATCATCCTTCCACAACCATCTATCATCTATCCTTTCCCTTCCACTACCATCTATCATTATCCCTCCACTACCACTTTCATCTATCCTTCCACTACCATCATCTTACTATCTTCCACTACCATCTATCATCTATCCATCCACTAACATCTTCTATCATCTTCCTTCCACTATCATCTATCCTTCCACGACCATCTATCATCTATCCTTCCACTACCATCTATAATCTATCCTTCCACTACCATCTAATCATCTATCCTGTTCCACTATCATCTATCCTTCCACAATCATCTATCATCTATCCTTCCACTACCATCTATCATCTATACCTTCCACTATCAGTCTATCCTTCCCACTACCATCTACATCTATCCTTCCACTCACCACGTATCATCTTATCCTTACGCTTCCACTACCATCCATCAATCAATCCTTCCACTATCATCTATCCTTCCACTACCATCTATCATCTATACTTCCACAATCATCCTATCCTTCCACTACCATCCTATCATCTATCCTTCACTACAATCATATCATCTATCCTTCCCACTATCCATCTATCAACTATCCTTTTCCACAGTCATCATCCTTCCACTACCATCTATCCATCATGGGGAGGCGGCTATCCTTTTCACTACCATCTATCATCTATCCTTCCACTATCATCAATCCTTCAATACCATCACATCGACCTTCCACTACCATCTATCACTAACCTTCCACTACCATCTATCATCTATTCCTACCACTATCATCTACCTTCCACTACAATCTATCATTTATCCATCCACTACCATTCTATCATCTATCCTGCCACTACCATCTATCATCTATCCTCCCTACCATCTATCATCTATCTTTCCACTACCATCTATCATCTATCCTTCCACTATCATCTATCCTTCCACTACCATCTATCATCTATCCTTCCACTATCATCTATCCTTCCACTACCATCTATCATCTATCCTTCCACGATCATCTTCCTTTCCACTAACCAGCTATCATCTATCTTCACAACCATCTATCATCTATCCTTCCACTACCATCTATCATCTATCTTTCCACTACCATCTATCATCTATCTTTCCACTACCATCTATCATCTATCTTTCCACTACCATCTATCATTCTATCCTTCCACTACCATCATCATCTACCTTCCACTACCCTATCATCTCGATCTTTCCACTACCATCTATCATCTATCTTTCCACTGACCATCATCATCTATCTTGCCACTAACTCATCTATCTCTTCCAATACCATCTATCATCTTCTTTCCCTCTACCATCTAATCTCTAACTTCCCACTAACCATCTATCATCTTCTTTCCACTACCATCATCTTCCATTACCTTCTATCATCCTATCTTTCCACTACCATCTAATCATCTATCCTTTCCCACTACCATCTATCATCTATCTTTCACTACCATCTATCCTTCCCATTACCATAGATCATCTATCTTTCACTACCATCTATCATCTAACTTTTCCACTACCAATCTGATCACTATCCTTTCCCTATCATCATATCTTGCCACTAACCATCTATCATCTATACCTTTCCACTATCAGCTATCCCTTCCATCTACCATCTATCATCTATCTTGCCACTACTCATCCTTCCACTACCATAACTATCATTCAATCTTATCCACTACCATCTATCATCTATCTTTCCACTACCATCTAATCTATCTATCCTTTCCACTATCATCTATCCTTCCACTAACCAACATATCTTCTATCCTTCCACTATCATCTATCCTGTCCACTACCATCTATCATCTTCCTTCCACTATCATCTACCTTCACTACCATCTATCATCTATCTTTCCACTATCATCTATCATCTATCCATCCACTACCATCTATCATCTATCCTTCCACTATCATCTATCCTTCCACTACCACTAACATCTATCCTTTTCCACTACCATCTATCATCTATCTGTCCACTACCACTATCCTCTATCTTTTCCACTACATCAATCATCTATCCATTACCACTACCAATCATATCATCTATCCTTCCACTATCATCTATCCTTCACTACCATCTATCATCTACCCTTCCACTAACCATCAATCAACTATCCTTCCACTACCATCTATTCATCTATCCTTCCGACTACCATCTATCATTCTATCCTTCCACTACCATCATACATCTATCCTTCCACTAACCATCAATCATCTATCTTTCCCACTACCATCTAATCATCTATCCTTCCACTACCATCTAATCATCTATCTTTCATTACATCTATCATCTATCCTGCCACTACCATCTATCAACATCCGTCCACTATCATCTAACCTCCACACCATTCTATCATCTATCCTTCCACTACATCTTAAAATCATCTATTCTTCCATTATTCTATCATCTATCATCTATCCTTCATCTACCATCGATCATCTATCCCTCCACACCATCTATCATCTACCTTTCACTACCATCTATCATCTATCCTTCCACTACCATCTATCATCTATCCTTCCACTACCATCTATCATCTATCCTTCCACTACCATCTATCATCTATCCTTCCACTACCATCTATCATCTATCCTTCCACTACCATCTATCATCTATCCTTCCACTACCATCTATCATCTATCTTTCCACTACCATCTATCATCTATCCTTCACTATCATCTATCCTTCCTACCCATCTATCATCTATCTTTCCACTACCATCTATCACCTATCCTTCCACTACCATCTATCATCTATCTTTCCACTACCATCTATCATCTATCTTTCCACTACCATCTATCATCTTCTTGCCACTACCATCTATCACGCTATCTTTCCACTACATCGGGTGAGGGTCAAGCCGGGCCACGGGGGGTTGACCCCGATTGACCTGAGGTTCCCAGCAAGTGAGGTCGTCTCCTGTGTTATCCCAGTGCTTAACATTATTATAATTATTATAATCATGGGGGAGCGCTAAACCCAGAGGATTATACAGTGCATGTGGTGGGGGGGGGGGGATGAAAGGCCTTCAGGCTCAATTCAGGGAACTGGAGCACAGCTCCAATTCCCTAGATCAAGAGCCCCTCACCAGCATCAAGGAACCTCCCTTGAGGGGCCCAGTGCTTTACATTATTATTATTATAATCAAACAAGAAGCGCTAAGCCACAAGGACTATACAGCCCAGTGCTTTACAGAATAGGGAATACCATAAGAGGGTGTCCAGAGGTCCCACTCACCAGACCTCTCACCAACCTCTCCCTCTCTAGCTGTTTCCTTAAGGTTATATGGTCCTTAAAGCACCCCCCCCCCTCCCCATAAGGCATATGGTCCTTAAAGCACCCCCCCCTCTCCCATAAGGCATATGGTCCTTAAAGCACCCCCCCCTCCCCATAAGGCATAAACCACACCAGTTTACAAAGGACCTGACTTAAGCTGAGAGACGTGTCTGACAGCTATTTGCCAAGGCGTGTGACAATATACTGGAGTTAGGTCTCCCTTAGTGACCTCACAAGGTTAAGGTCCCAGGACCAAATTATTATTATAATCAAGGGGGAAGCGCTAAACCCAGAGGATTATACAGCACCTGGGGGGGATGTGGAAGGCATTCAGGCTTAATTCGGGGAACTGGAGCACAGATCCAATTCCCTAAATCAAGAGCCCCTCACCAACATCAAGGAACCTTCCTTGAGGGGCCCAGGACCAAAATATTATACATGTCCTGGTGTCTGTTAACTTGTCTTTCTAAAGCAGTTTGTGGGTATCTATGGCCTCCAGGCTGAGGGACTGATTATCTCAAAGTCCTCCTCGTCTTTCACCTTTCTTTGTATAGGACTGAGGAGTGCACTTGGTCAAGCATTACCACAATGAAGATTCCCAGATGTTGCACAGGTGTCTTTATCTTGCATAGCTCTCTAGAACGAAGAAGAGAGGGAATACCTGCCCATGCTAGGTAGGTTCCAGTTACACCCACTTTAGAAGCACTGTTGAAGGCCTACTGGTCCACTAGGCCCACTGGTCCAGTAGGCCTACTGGGAGTGTGTTGCAAGTTCAATAAACAGGTGTCATGGGAATATTCAGTGAAGAGCATTTCAATGTGTGGGACCCAAGACTTTTTAGCATACTACCAGCAGATATATTACTGGAACAATGATGTTAGTTCTCACAGCACCAACAGCCTGGTTGAACAAGGAAGCCTGGCTGCAAGTTGGGCTGTACCAACAGCCTCATTGAACAAGGAAGCCTGGCAACAGGTTGGGCTGTACCAACAGCCTGTTTGAACAAGGAAGCCTGGTAACAGGCTGGGTAACAGGAGTCATACAGCCCTCAAAACAGGTCACAGGTATCACACAGTGTACATGGTAAAGTCTGGATCAATAAAACCTTATATTTATTACACCTCTTTATTTTGCTTTCGTTATGGTCATAATACATTGCAAAATATAACACACGCTTACATAGTAGTCAAACTATATACATCATACACATTATTTACAATAACTTAGAGGGACAAGTCACAGAATGAGTTGGGGTTAGAACCCACGGTGGGCAGGACTTGAAACTCACGGGTCACTGACTTGTGTGACTTGGACCTGACTAGCTTGGGCCAGTAGGTGACTTGGACCTGCATAGCTTGGGCCAGTAGGTGACTTGGACCTGCATAGCTTTGGGCCAGTAGGTGACTTGGAACTGCATAGCTTGGGCCAGTAGGTGACTTGGACCTGCATAGCTTGGGCCAGTAGGTGACTTGGACCTGCATAGCTTGGGCCAGTAGGTGACTTGGACCTGCATAGCTTGGGCCAGTAGGTGACTTGGACCTGCATAGCTTGGGCCAGTAGGTGACTTGGACCTGCATAGCTTGGGCCAGTAGGTGACTTATACCTGACTAACTTGGACCAGTAGGTCTTCTGCAGTGCTTGTTCCTTCTTAAGTGGATGTGACTTGGCCCTGACAGGCTTTGGCTATGAAACTGTTCTATTCGTAATATTTTTAATAAATTACTCCATGGGTGGGTTATTATCCTTCCTCCGTAAGCCATACTCCTCATAAGAGGCGACTGAACTCCAAACTCCTCCTAATCTTCAAAGATTCTTCTTTGTATTGGACTGAAGAAGTCACTGGCTGGTGACACATCTCCACAATATAGAAGGTGGCTTAGCACTTCTTTTTGATTATAATAATAATAATAATCCACAATATAGATACCTATGTGTTGCACAAGTGATGGGTATAAGCGTAACCATAATTTTTAAAATAGTGAAGGGGTAAGCCAGGAGAAGGCGTCAGTCAGATGACCAAAAGTTCCAGCTATGGGTCATCATATAACCATGGGCTTTCTACATGCACAACTAAATGTCACTCATCTCCCTACAAACATTGTATCATGTGGAGATATATCTTTGACCTTGGCTTTAACCAAAATTTCATAGCACATATAAAGGCCTTCATAGGTCACAATATTCTATTTTGGACAAACCTTTTCAATCACATTTACAGAAAATCATACAAGATAAACTTTATAAGAGCTTACTGTACGTTTGCAGAGCTCTTATGAAAAGTTCCGTCCAGGATTGACCTTCATAAATTATATCATATTTTCTGGCAAATAAAGTCCAGGAGCATTACAAGTACGGTGGTACCTCGGGATACGAACCTAATTCGTTCCAGAAGGCTGTTCGAGTACCGAACAAATTTGTTCCCGTGAGGAATAATGTAACGTAGATTAATCCGTTTCAGACCCCCAAAAATAAACTTGCAAAAGAACTCACAAAAATACACTTACATAGCTGATCAAGTTCGTATCCTGAGGTACCACTGTATTACAACTCTATTACTACAATTAACTGCATGTCCATTTATAAAGCACCACTTGCCAGCAACACAAAGCCTACCCTTGACTCCTGACCTTGATCATATAAGGCACAGGCTGATTTTCCAAGACTTTTGTTGGGAAAAAAGGGACGCCTTATATGCTGGAAAACAGGATACTTGCTGAAAATTATCCTGGACACCACACTGAAGGCTTCCATGACTCTCTGATCATGGGTTCTACCCCCGCCTGTGGTATAGTTTAAAGGCTTCTATATAAACACTGCATCTAACCTGTTGGCAGACACCAATGTTTATCCCTACGAGTCATGAGGCAATGATAAGTACAGTGGACCCCGCATAATGATCACCTCCGAATGCGACCAATTATGTAAGTGTATTTATGTAAGTGCGTTTGTACGTGTATGTTTGGGGGTCTGAAATGGACTAATCTACTTCACAATATTCCTTATGGGAACAAATTCGGTCAGTACTGGCACCTGAACATACTTCTGGAATGAAAAAATATCGTTAACCGGGGGTCCACTGTACATGAGAGATAAAAGTACATGTCATTCTTCACTATCGTGATCTTTGGATACTTGTGTTTATGAGGTTATAAAGCAGCTGAGAGAGAACTGGGATTGAAAGGACATTCATGCATATACATAGGATCTATCTGCTGGATATGTTTGAGGGACGTCAGTCACCTCCTAGATCCCACGACCAAAATGTATCCAGTGAAGATGCCCTAAGTGAATGCAAGTGTGTCGTTACATTTGTATTATCAGTATCAATATGCAGGCAGTCCTTCGACTTACGATGGGTTTACGTTCCAACGAACCCATCATGAGTCAAAAACATTGCAAGTTGAAAATATTTTAAGTCGAATATGAATATATGATAAAAAAATAAGTAAATAAATAGCTACTGTCACTTGAAAAATAAACAATAATAACTGTAACTAAATACCAGTATTGAATACAAGTTAGGAACTGCCGCCATCATGCCGGGTAATTAAGTTTCATCTCAAAAGTAATTGCTTTTGCACCGTCGTAAAGTGCAAATGTCGTAAGTCAAACCATCATAAGCCGAGGAGCGCCTTTATTTTCTACCTCCATAATCTGGTTTTGTATAAATTTACACAAATGACCCACATATAGGAGAATGAAATTTTCTTCCAGCATACTGGCTGTTTCCCGTCAACACAGGAGACCTGTCATCTCCTATGTACGGGTTATTTGTGTTGATAAATGAGACACTTGTGTAACATTTGGCTATCTTTATTCTGGAAACATTTTACCAGCCAGTGGCTTCTTCAGTCCAATGAAGAAAACAGTGGAAGATGAGGACAAGTTTGAGGTAATCAGTCCCTCAGCCTGGAGTTGACATGTTCAGTCCAGAGTATTGTGCCTCTTTATTCTTTCCAGATAAACCTTGATTATAAGGAGAGTATCAACAATTCCTTGAATCAAGAGTCCCTCACTGGCATCAAGGAACCTCCCCTTAAAATATCACTGAATCTGGAAAGGTATTTTCATATTGTTAGCAGCTAGAACCGAGGCCAGTGTAGAGAGGAAGGTCTCCGAGGGTGGCAGACTCTCCTCCTGCATCATCGTCCACAGTGATAATGCCTTATCACCTGCACTCTGAACATCTGAAAAAAGAGAAAATAATGTAATATTTGTAGTAATATTATAAATGAAATGCAATACTGATGAGTGGATGAGTAAGACAGACTCATCACCACAAGACTATTACTTTAAGACACCAAATTGTAATGACACAACTGTAAACAAACCATGGTACAGGTGGGGTTAGAACCCATGGCAAGTGAGTGGTAAAATTCCAGGCCAGTGCATAAGCCACTGGGCCAGTTGGCTGCAATATAATTCATTCAACGAGGTATACTCATACACTATAGGAATCTTATGCAAGTTTTTACAGATGAATCTTCTGTCGGTTCTACGACTCACTTGCCATCTTTATCGCTCCACAAAATATTGTTTCACATGTTTTATTCATTATTGTAATACAGTGGACCCCCGCATAACGATTACCTCCGAATGCGACCAATTATGTAAGTGTATTTATGTAAGTGCGTTTGTACGTGTATGTTTGGGGGTCTGAAATGGACTAATCTACTTCATAATATTTCTTATGGGAACAAATTCGGTCAGTACTGGCACCTGAACATACTTCTGGAGTAAAAAAATATCGTTAACTGGGGGTCCACTGTAGATGGTACAGGAATACCTACAAGATGAAGTTGATAAGAGACACAAGAAGCCATTAGAAACTTTATCAAGACTTGATACTCCATGGAGAAGTGGGTTAGAATCCTTCCTCTATAAACGTGTTGTAGCAAGAAGCTAGTAAACCCTTCTTCTGAATTAATTACTAAATGTAAAAAAGAGAAAAACTCTAGTTTCTTCTTTTTTGAGTCGCCCCGCCTCCGTGGGAGACAGCTAGAGCTAAAAAAAAAAAATTAAGACTTGATAACTCGTGCTGGACAGGCAAAATTCATCTTATTAAAGTTTCCAACTGCTGCTTGTATGTCTTTATCAACTATAAAATTAAATTTATAAAACACAAAACACAAAATAAAACAGGTTTTAAACTCCCCATGAATTAAAACATGCTCCACCCACTTTACAAAAAATACAATGGAAGAATTATATTCAGCCAGGCCTCAATCAGTGCGAATAATGAATCCTGTTGATCAGGTCCTGACCCACCGCCAGGCCTGGTCATGGACAGGGTCGCGGGGGCATTGACCCCTGTAACACCCTCCAGGTAGACATGGATTGGTCACATTTTTCAAATTCGCACTTCAAATTTCAGTAGAACCCCCGTAATCCGTCAATTCGGTTTCCGTGGTTTCAGTTATCCACAGTTTACCGTGGCCCAAAAATAAGCCTTAATTTTGCTTAATAATGGGCACAAAGCAATAACAGTGACGGTGGCAGTTCTTCAAAGCCGAAGAGAAGCCGTGAAGAGTTTCCCATCAGTGAAAAAGTGATAATTCTCCGCTTCTTGTGCATAATTTATCAATTAAACTTTACCATAGGTACGTGAGCAAGAAACAACTTATATATAGAATTCACTACTATCCACGGTTTCAGGTCTCTGTGGTAGGTCTTGGAATGTATCTCCCGCAGATACCAGGGCATTACTGTGTATGCAATTTTTGGGCACAATTAATTTTGCACTAAATCAAAATTTTGTTAATCGAGACCTAGCTGTATACACAAATAATTCAAACCTACAAGAATGACACTTAAGGTAACATTTCTGTCCAACTTGGACCATTAACAAGTCAGTCCAAGTCGGACTAAAATGCTACACATTTCAGTCCCATAAGTGCGTGTTATTCGTGCATTGTTCCAGTTACAGTGTTGTGATGCTTTATTTTCCACTAACAATATATGTTGAGGAGAGAGGAGAAGACTCTGTGACGGTCAACGAGGGTGTTTCCTCTCGAGGCGGTGAGGAAGTGGCGTAAAGCATCGTCTTGCTCAGTCTTCAAGTACCGGTCAAACTGACGGTTCAGCAGCTTCATGTCCAACTCTTCACCCAAGTTCTGAAAGAAACAATGTTTTTTCAACAAACCGGCTATATCCCACCAAGGTAGAAATATAATTAATAAATCAATTATATTCTTAATCATAGCTGCATTATTATTATTACTATTATTATTATTATTATTATTATTATTATTATTATTATTATTATTACTGATATTATTATGCCAGGAGCAAGAGGCTAGTAACTCCTTCTCCTGCATACATTCCTAAAGTTAAACAGAGAGACCCATTTTTCTTTTTAGGTCACCCTGCCTCAGTGGGATATGGCCGGTTTCATGAAAAAAAAATTAGTAGTAGTAGTAGTGATATTATTACTACTTTTCTAACTCTGGCCATCTCCCACTGAGGCAGGGTGACCCAAAAAAAAAGAAACACTTCCAGCACAATGGAAATAAGTCACTCTGTCTGACTTTTTTGGGTTATCCCAGGTTCTCTACACATATGCTGCTATGTATGATAATTCTATGTAACTGTATTTGTGTATACCTGAATAAACTTACCATCACTCACTCCAACACTGTCTTGCCAAAGGGCCACTGAAACTATAATTCAAAACTGAAGAATCTCCACCTCTCCAATTATTATTAATTAATGATTTACTAATTCTCCATGGGGAAGTGGAACAGAATTCTTCCTCCGTAAGCCATGCGTGTTGTAACAGGCGACTAAAATGCCAGGAGCAAGGGGCTAGTAACCCCTTCTCCCGTATAAATTACTAAATTTAAAAGAGAAACTTTCGTTTTTCTTTTTGGGCCACCCTGCCTTGGTGGGATACGGCCGGTGTGTTGAAAGAAAGAAGAAAGATTTACTAATATTATTACTAGTAGCAGTAGTATTATACAGGTATTCATAGCAATTATACAGTGCCTGGAGAATGGTAGGTAATTAGAATTGATCTGAATGGGAGCCCTGTTCTTTGTATTAACTCCAGCTTTGTAGGGAAGGTTGCAAAGGCCAATCAGGACACACAAAATCACTGGCAGTGCTTCTAGCCAATAGGATAACTTGTTTTCATCCTTGCCAGCCAATTGGAGAGTCCTAACTCCTTCCCATGGGGTGTGAGGATTTGAGACGTGAATCAGCGCAGTGCTAGACTATAGAGGCAGTAGTCGCCAATCACACGTAAGTACGAATAATGACTGATTGGGCTAGATTTCAGAAGAAATTAATGAAGAAACTATGAAAGTTACTGAAAAATCACAAGAGAAAATTTTGTTTTAGAAAGAGCTAATGTAATAAGACATTCATGGTACCTTGATACCTTGATGCAGGTAAGTGATTCTTAAGGGACTTATCCTCCCCTTCCTTGGATCAAATCTGAACACCTCCCATTCCCCAGGTGTTGTATGACCAATACAAGTTTAGTACAGTGGAACCCCGAATATTGGCCTTAATTCGTTCCAAAAGGCTGTACGAGTGCCGTTACTGAACGAATTTGTTCCCATAAGGAATAATGTAAATTAGACTAATCTGTCTCAGACCCCCAAAAATACACTTACAAAAGCACTTACAAAAATACACTTACATAAGTGTTCGAGTTGGGAGCTGTTCGAAATTTGATGTACTACTGTCACCAAATAAGTCAATAAACAAATAATTACGGTAACTAACTAAATACCAGTATTGAAAAGTAAATAAATGAATACAAGTTATGGACTCGTCACCTTCACGTTGGGTAATTATCTTATATTTCATCTCAAAAGTAATTGCTTTTGTACCATCGTAAAGTTGAAACATCGTAAGTCGAACCATCCGAAGTCAAGAAGCACCTGTAGTTGTACATTAGTACTGTAAACTACACTACCTTTCTACAGTAGAAAAGAAATACAGAAAGTCCTCAATTTACGAACACGCTGCAGTTTTATAACTGAAGTGTGAGCACGCCTCTGGCAAGACAGTGATGGAGTGAATGATGATGAAAGGTTTTCTTTTTTGGACCACCCTGCCTTGGTGGGAGACGGCTGTGGGAGACGGCTGATGTGTTAATAACAAAACAAAAATAAATAATCAACATTGTGTATAATATCATTATTATACGCAATACAGAAGGTCCCCAACATGTCCAAAGGTCAAAGACTTACTGTAAATTTATTATTATTATTACCTAAAATAATTAAGATATTTGACGGCAGGACAGAGAAACACACCTGCACCACTTTCCTGGCCTCCACGGGTTGTCCGGCCTCCAGACATGCAAACAAGAGGTCGTGACGAGCACGTCTTGGCCCGTGGCACTCGGCGATGAGGTTCAGCATGTGGTCCAGTAAGCTGCCAGCAGTGTTCAACTTGCCACTGTCCCTACAACAACATCCCAGCTATACGACAGGCAAATGTTAATCCTTAAATGGGTGAAACTTGAACCTATGGTATGTGATAATGACTACAGTAACATGGTGACAAAATTCCACAACATCGGGCCAAATTCCATAACATGGGGACAAAATTCCATATAGAAACAAAATTCCACATGGGGACAAAATTCCCCAACTAACAAGGGGACATCAAAGCAACTTTCAAGAAAGATGCCAGACTGACCTTGATTCGTCTAAGCAACTCATGCTCTCATTCTGGCACTTTAAATGATGAATGAGATGGATGAGAATTTCGATCCTCATTGGGAGACACTTGTACTTCTTAAGGATCGTTTCAGCTTCCGTCACTGCTGCTGCTAAATCTCCGCTGCGATGTAGAATGTAGACATTACAAAGAAATATTCCAGTGTTGAATCTACGTCATTTTGTATACAGGAAGTCCTCAACTTACGAATACAATGGAGGTCTTCTGTATTGTGTATAATAATATTATACACAATGATTATATAACAATGATACAGCCTCTCCTCGCTTAACGACGGAGTTCCGTTCCTAAGACCACGTCGGTAAACAAATTCGTCACTAAGTGAGGAACATACTATAATGGTAGTGGGTTTGTGTCAACCATCTCTGATATTGTTTTAATGTCACTTTTGTACCATTAATAACATTTCTGTATATTTTTAAATGTTTATACAGTAGTGTACTGTATATTGTAATAAACAGAATAGAGGAAATCAGCTCTAATATATATTATTTAGGCATGCACACTGCTCAGAGCCCCCGTTGTAAGTCCGAGTCATCGGTAAACAAGTACGTCGCTACGTGAGGAGAGGCCGTAATTATACACAATACAGGAGATTCTCAATGTGTTATAAGTCAAGGACTTATTGTAAATAGCCAGGACTCAATTAGTGCGAATAATGAATCACGCTGATCGGATCCTGATCCACTGCTAGGCCTGGTCATGGAGTGGGCTACTGGGGGGGGAACTGTTGACCCTAGGAACACCCTCCAGGTAGACGTGCAGTAGTCGGACTGCTTGCACTCATACTATTTGATTTATATATAATTTTTGCACACAATTTGAAGCGTTCGGGGGAAAACAAGAAATAATTAATTTTACACTAAATCAAAATCTGCACTAAATCAAAATTTGCTCTAAATCAAACTCACACTAATCAAGACCTAGCCAGCCAGGTCTCAATTGGTGCAAGTTCGAACAGTGGGAATTTCAATTTAGTGCAAAACTAATTAACACCAATTTTTCCTCTAAACGCTTCAAATACTTCGCAAAAAATTATATTTTGAATAGCACAAATTCAAATTACGAAACTACTACACAGGATTCATTATTCCCACCAATCGAGGCCTAGCTGTAATAACAAAAGTCTAAAAATTATGAAGACAAAACAAAATAAAAAGGCCAAGAGTATCTAATAGGCCTAAATATTACTGTACATAGAAAATATTACTTTATACAGTTAGCTCTATTATAAAGTACCAAGCCAGGCCTATAACTAGCAGGATAGTGTCCAGTGGACTGATAGTTTTAGGAACAAACTTGACATGGGTTTGAATCCCACACACACTTCATGGGTAGAATTGTATTGTATTTTATGTAGTGTTTAACCCGAATGGGTCATCGAGTGCAAGGTGCGGTGCTGGCCACAGCCTGGTCTGTGACCAGCCAGGTCACAGACCAGGCTGGTCAGGTCCTGTCTTCCACAAACACAAATTGGTGAGTACAGAAATCAAGTCATCACACATAGTATAAACAACCAATCATGCACAATACAGTGGACCCCCGCATAACGATTACCTCCGAATGCGACCAATTATGTAAGTGTATTTATGTAAGTGCGTTTGTACGTGTATGTTTGGGGGTCTGAAATGGACTAATCTACTTCACAATATTCCTTATGGGAACAAATTCGGTCAGTACTGGCACCTGAACATACTTCTGGAGTGAAAAAATATCGTTAACCGGGGGTCCACTGCATTATAATCAATCACACAGTATAAACAAATAATCAGACACACACACACACAGCAAGGCACAGTGGGAAACTAACCTATTCAATCTGCACTTGACTAGAGCCCCAAGAGTCAAATTATCTGCTCTGACAAAGCCACAGCCAAGAAGTTTACTGAAGAGTTGAGAAGTCAGCTCGCAGTCGCCCGTCGTCGCAGCAGCCATCAACAGATTCCTGCAGTTCCTTCTGATTCCGGTGGCATCAAATGCCACCTTGACGTTTTTCTCAATATATTCTTCAAGCAACAGAACACCCTCTAGAAAATAATATCAGTATACACAAATAACCCTCATCTTAGATGCAATCGATAATGAAAAAATACTCTTTTCCACCCACTGAGAAATTTCTGCATATCGTACGTAGATGGGAAATGTAGTTTATATATGTCAATCACCCTAACTGTACAGAAAGTCCTGGATTTACAAACATATTGAGAATCTCATGTATCTTATTACGAACACACTGAGAATCTCATGTGTCTTATTACGAACACACTGAGAATCTCATGTGTCTTATTACGAACACACTGAGAATCTCATGTGTCTTATTACGAACACACTGAGAATCTCATGTGTCTTATTACGAACACACTGAGAATCTCATGTGTCTTATTACGAACACACTGAGAATCTCATGTATCTTATTACGAACACACTGAGAATCTCATGTATCTTATTACGAACACACTGAGAATCTCATGTGTCTTATTACGAACACACTGAGAATCTCATGTGTCTTATTACGAACACACTGAGAATCTCATGTATCTTATTACGAACACATTGGGGACCTTCTGCATCATGTATAATGATGATATAATAATGATATATGTACATGATAATGATATAACAATATACACAATGCAGAAGATTCTCAATGTGTTTCAAAATCGAGAACTTATTGTACTCCACTTTACAGAAATAAGGTTTATCTTATTTAAGAGTAATTACCATCGCTTCTTCCTTCTTCTATCAAAAGAGTGCACAGGTCAATAATTTTGAAAGAATCCAGGGAGAACCCAGCATGTTGCACTTGCAATTCGGATAACATGTCCAAGGCTGCATCAGCGTTCCTGCAACTGACATACGCTGCAATAATTCCCGCCATCATTCCGGCACTCGCTTTAATGCCGATCTCTTTTGCCTTCTGCCATGAGTAGATATTAAAGAATAAAAAGATATGATTATTATTATTATCAAAACTAAGTAGTAAACCCACAAGGGTTGAAAAGAATTTTAGCAGATCATAATGTGTGTTATCATATGTTAATAACCATCCTGGCCTGGGACCTGGTCACAAGGATATCGAGAACCAGATTTTTATTATTATGTAAGATGATGGAGGCAAAGAAGGTGTGAAGCGTGGGTTGTACATGTTGCAGCGAGGAGAAGACTGGAGGCAGTGGAGAAGTCGAGTCTAAGGGCAATGTGTGACATGAATATTATGCAGAGAATTAGTAGTGTGGAAATTAGGAGGAGGAGTTACAAAAAGTATTATTCAGAGGGCTGAAAAGGGGTTGTTGAGGTGGTTTCGTCATTTGGACACGGAATAAAATATAATGATTTGAAGAGAATATAAATCTGCCATGGAGGAAAGGAAAGATAGGGGTCAGCCTAGGAAAGGCTGGAGGGAGGGGGTAAAGGTTTTATGTACAAGAGGCTTGGACTTCCAGCAGGCGTGCATGAGCATGTCAGGAACGAGTGGGGACAAATTGTTTTAATGACCTGACGTGTTGTTAGAGTGTGAGGGAAGTAACATTTATGAAGGGATTAGGGAAACTGGTTAGCCAGACTTGAGTTCTGGAGATGTGAAGTACAGTGTCTGCACTCTGAAGGAGGGGTGTTAATGTTGCAGTTTTATAACTGTAGTGTAGGCATGCCTCTGGCAAGACAGTGATGGAGTGAATAATGATGAAAGTGTTTCTTCTTTTTCAGGACACCCTGTTGATAAACAAAACAATAATCTTGTTTTATAAATAAAGTTAAATCATTACCAACGTGTCACTTTAGTTTGAAGGTCATTCAACCAGTAATGTCCTTCCACTTCCAGCAAGACAGTTACTGAGGGATGGTGACTGTATTTCCTTCCTTGGTGACCCTACTATGACCTTTACCCACCATCACTTTACAGATATTAGCCCAGTAAAATGATGTTTCACCACATATATAACACAACAAAGATTGCTATGCTTGTATTTAGAGAATGTAAGATCCATCTACACCTGGCTTACCTTCATGAGAGCTAAAACATGCTGGGGTTGGTTCTTGGTAGCATGCTGGAGCATCAGTTTACGTAGGGTTCCTCGCACGTTCATACCCTTACTCTGTAGTTCCACCATGTGACCATCCAGCTCCTCCAGTGTCATACTCCTCTGAAGTGATGATATTTATCATATACCAATACAGTAAGTCCTTGACTTATTGGTGTATGATATTATTATACACAATACATGATATAGAAGATCAACGTGTCCGTGAGTCGAGGACTTACCGTACAGGTGCTCAACAATTCGCAAAGAGGCGAAATTATTTACAATCATCATCTCTCAGTCCACAGCAGGATTGGAACCTGCAAACTCGGCATCAGAGTACATAGTACTCTATGGAGTCTGGCATTGTGTGTACTCTGATGCTGAGTTTACAGGTTTGAATCCCAGTATGTACATCTATATGTATAAAATTAATTCTAAACACTGATGTACAATGATAATAATAGTACTATTAATAATAGTATGTGCTACCAAAATTAATAATAATAATGATTTAATATTAATGCTGAAAATGAGCTACATAATCAGTATTTAAGTAATTATATTGTGTGTAAAGGTAGAGAGCTGAAAGTGAACATAGATAACAGTAAGGTGATAACGGTATCAAACGATTTAGATAACGAAAAAATGGATATCACATTGGAGAGGAGGAGTATGGAAGAAGTGAATGTGTTCAGATATTTGGGAGTTGATTTGTCAGCAGATGGGTTGATGAAGGATAAGCTTAACCATAGAAATGATGAAGGAAAAAAGGTGAGTGGTGCATTAAGGTATCAGTGGAGCCAAAAAAACTTTATCCATGGAAGCAAAGAAGAGAATGTACAAGAGTATAGTGGTACCAACACTCTTATATGGGTGTGAAGCTTGGGTTGTAAATGTTGCAGCGAAGAAGCAGCTGGAGGCAGTGATGTTGTGTCTAAGGGCAATGTGTGGTGTAAATATTATGCAGAGAATTCGTAGTGCAGAAATTAGTAGGAGGTGTTGAGTTACTAAAAGTATTAGTCAGAGGGCTGAAGAGAGGTTGTGGAGGTGGTTTGGTCATTTAGAGAGAATGGAACAAAATAGAATGACTTGGAGAGCATATAAATCTGTGGGGAAAGGAAGGAGGGATAGGGGTCGTCCTCAAAAACGTTGGAGGGACGGGGGTAAAGGATATTCTGTGGGCGAGGGGCTTGGACTTCATATTCGTATCTGACTTACAATATTTTTGACTTATGTTATGATATTTTCAACATACAATGGGTTTGTTGAAACATAACTCCATTGTAAGTCAAGGACCACGTGTATTATGTATTGTATTGTTTAATGTGATTACCAACAACTTACCGGATGAGGAAGAATATTGTATTCTTGCTCCTTGGGAGGCTGACCCATTCTGGGGTCAAGAATAATATTGATGTTGTTTCTGATTGCCTCTTGTATCGACCTGTTGGACCGGGTCATCAGCAGGTCGGCGGAACTTTCCGAGATTGTTACATCGTTTTTCCTGAGCTCCTGAAAAAGAGTTGTTGAGATGTTATTTGAGATTGAAAATCGCATAAAGTACCAACAAGTTGAATATTACGACACGTGCAACAGTTGAGTATCATTACTAATGAAATGTTTCGCCTACACAGTAGGCTTCATCAGTCAAATACAAAGGGAGCAGTAGTAATAAAATGAAGATGATGTAATCAGTCCATCAACCTTGGAGAAAAAGTATCTGAGGTGAACAGTCCCTCAGCCTGGAGAAGACTTCAGAGACTGACCACAACAAGAGAACACAAGAAGAGAAAAGAGCTACCACAAGGCAAACTAACCTCAAACAAGGGACGAATTTTCTCAACACTCAAGCCGGTCCTCGAAGCCGCCAAGTCCAACACAAACTGTCCACCCCAGTCATCTTCACCGACCTCACTTTCAGTCGTGTCCTGAAAAAACAATATTTTTTCGTATACATCAGTTTTACAGGCTAAGAGCTGTTATCTTACCTCAGCTCATTTCAAAGCTCCGCATTATCTGAGGTATACTGCCACCCCCCAAGATGCCACCCATAACAGTCAACTGACACCCAGGTACATACCTACTTACTGCCAGGTGAACAGTGACAGCAGGTGTAAGGTGACTAACACTGAGGTACCTACTTACTGCTAGGTGAATGGGGACAGCAGGCATAAGGAAACACGCCAAAATTTCCACCCATGCCGAGAATCGAACCATGGGCACTCGCTATGTGACCCAAGCCTGGTACCAAGCAAACCACAGGACACCTTTCCAAAAATTATTTGACAAGAATATACGAGGATGTTACAATGGATTGGTTCGTTTACTTATGTATCAGTTTAGTTGAGATAACACTGTTCTTACCTTCTTTTTCAGCACAATGGCTGTCTCCCACTGAGGCACGGTAACCCAAAAAAGAAACACTTTCACCATCATTCACACATAATCACTCTTTGCAGAAGCGCCCAGATACAACAGTTTAGACGTCTCTCCAAATAGCCAATATCTCAAACCCCTCCTTTAAAGTGCAGGCACTGTACTTCCTACCTCCAGGACTCAAGTCCATCTAACCGGTTTGCCTGAATTCCTTCACAGAATATTACCTTGCACTCTAACAGCCTGTCAAGTCCTAAAAACCATATTCTCCACTCACTCCTAACACACTCACACACACACCTCTTTGTTTTTCTTGATAATTAGAGCCAGCAATTCAATGATGGTCCGGGGGTTGGACGGCCAAGCGGACGCCAAATGGGCCATAAGGTTGCGTAGAGAGAAGGTCGCCTTCTGTTTCTTAACTGAAAGAAAATGTACAAATTCTTGAAACAGTCAGCATATTACTGTTATGAATAACTCTAGTATATATAGCACTCTCCACACAAAGTCACACTGAGTGTGACTTTGTAAATGGTCCAAGTCAGATCAAAACGTCACCGTAAGTTCCTCTCTTCTATGTGCGGGTTATTTGTGTATTGTTCCAGTCATGGTATTGTGCCTTTTTTTTGGTTATTTATAGCACTCTCCACTCAATATAACAGTAATCCATGGAACAGGTGGGGCTTAAACCTGTGGCTAGTGTGTCATAAAATTCCAGGCCAACGCAATATAACAGTAATATGCTCAACAATAACCTACATGGAGACAGAAATGCAGAATATTAATGATCTGTATATTTTGACCCTTTTTTGGAGTCCTCATCGAAGGATCCCAGAAACAGGTCAAGAAATCATCATAGTGGAGTGTTAGGTAAATGAACACAAATGTGACATTTTATCGTGGCGATGTTTGACCTGACGATCTGTTGGAGTGTGAGCAGGGTAATATTTAGTGAAGGGATTCAGGGAAACCGGTTATTTTCATATAGTCGGACTTGAGTCCTGGAAATGGGAAGTACAATGCCTGCACTTTAAAGGAGGGGTTTGGGATATTGGCAGTTTGGAGGGATATGTTGTGTATCTTTATACGTATATGCTTCTAAACTGTTGTGTTCTGAGCACCTGTGCAAAAACAGTGATAATGTGTGAGTGTGGTGAAAGTGTTGAATGATGATGAAAGTATTTTCTTTTTGGGGATTTTCTTTCTTTTTTGGGTCACCCTGCCTCGGTGGGAGACGACCAACTTGTTGAAGAAAAAAAAAAAAAAATGTTTGACTCTCCAGGAGCTTCATCAGGGTTCAACAAAACTCCTGGAAAGAAAAATGTTGCCCCAATAAAATGTCACATTAGTTGCATCTGTGGTCACTTACCTAACAGCATGTCACTAATTCTACCATCATTACTAACGTAGCGGACAAAACACACAACTTGCTCATAGGAGAAAAAAACTTTATGACTTTGTTTTAGTCTGAGCTGGACCAGTAATTACAGGTGGTCCTCGGCTCACGATGGGGGTTACGTTCCAATAAACCCACCATAAGTAGAAAATATCGTAAGTAGAATATGAATATAACATGCTAAATAAATAAATAAATAACTACTGCTGCTGAATAAGTAAATAAACAAATAATTACTGTAACTAAATACCAGTATTGAAAGTAAATAAATGAATATGAGTTATGGAGGCTGGACTTGAGTCCTGGAGATGGGAAGTACAATGTCTGCACTCTGAAGGAGAGGTGTTAATGTTGCAGTTTTATAACTGTAGTGTAAGTGCACCTCTGGCACAACATTGATGGAGTGAATGATGGTGAAAGTTATTCTTTCTCAGGCCACCCTGCCTAGGTGGGAAACGGCCTATGTGTTAATAAAATAAATAAAAAATAGGTTAGGGACTTGCCGCCTTCGTGATGGGTAATTTTCTTAAGTTTCACCTCCAAAGTAATTGCTGCCGCATCACCATAAAGTTGAAATATCATAAGTCGAGAAGCGCCTGTAATCACGCTCATTGGTTAATAGTCTATGTTGGACCAAAATGTAGTCATAAAGTCTCTTTCCCCTATGTGCGGATTATTTGTGTATTGTTCCAGTCACGGTACTGTACCTTAGTGTTCTTTATAGTGGGGGAAACACTAGAGCAAGCGTACTGGCCCTTACCGTATTTTGCGGCTTATTAGACGCATTTTGTTCCCAATAAAATGCCTCCAAAAACAACCCTAAGTCCTATAAACTGAAGGTTAGTGATGGGAGCTATAAATCTGGGGTGTCGGGTGGACTGTAGCTCTCCCAGTTACATCCGATGCTGAGCAGTTGAAACTAAAACAAGCCTTATTAGCCGCATCTTATAAGCCGCAAAATGCGGTATACGAAATGCTCATTAACACTGGCTGTTGAATTAACCAGTTAGTAATGAGTCATTGCTTACCAAATTCAATCGCTTGATTAAGCATGCTATTTTTGATGAGAACAATGAGTAGAGGCGTTGCCGCCATGGTCAGCGTCAACCCTGCACGGGTGAGCATCTGCAGGGTGAGATCCGGGTGACTGACGATGAGGCCAGGAATAATGTGATCTCTGAGCGTCTCCAAGCCGGGAGTCTGGCCCATTTCAATCATCTTCCGAACACATTCCAGGAGCTCTGTAAAGTACAGAAACCTCATTACCTGTATGGTAAGTCCTCGATTTACAAACACATTGAGAATCTTCTGTACTGTGTATAATATCATTATGATACACAATACAGGAGGTCCCCAATGTGTTCATAAGTTGAAGATGGTGTGAGTAATGGTCACTCTGTCTCAAAAAAAAAAAAAAAAAAAAAAGGGCCACCAAGGTAGGTTGACCCAAAGAAAAACACATCCACCATCACTCATGTTCTAACTTTCCTGTCACAGTTAACGAACTAATTACACGAGCAGGTGACCGGTAATGACAACTGTAGTGGGTACAGACAAAACTGTGTTGCTACGATGGCAACAACAATGTACAATTCTGAAGTTAACGAAGTTTGTTTAAGAATCAACTGATTTAGTAGATTTTGTCCCATATTTCTGAAGTCTGTTATATCAAGGTCTCTTATAGCAAGGTCTTTTATATCAAGGTCTCTTACATCAAGGTCTCTTATATCAAGGTCTCTTCTATGGAAGTCCCTTACATCAAGATCTCATACAACACAAGGTGCAGTAAGACCCAGTCTCACACTAGCAGGCTCACAATCTCACACTTACTAGCAGGCTCACAGCCTCACACTTACTAGCAGGCTCACAGTCTCACACTTACTAGCAGGCTCACAGCCTCACACTTACTAGCAGGCTCACAGTCTCACACTTACTAGCAGGCTCACAGTCTCACACTTACTAGCAGGCTCACAGTCTCACACTTACTAGCAGGCTCACAGTCTCACACTTACTAGCAGGCTCACAGTCTCACACTTACTAGCAGGCTCACAGTCTCACACTTACTAGCAGGCTCACTGGCTACAGCATTCATACACAACAACGGCCAGAAATAGTGTTCCCTGAGGGGACAACCGCTCTCCTTGACGACCCGCAGCAGCAACCATGCCAGCTCTTCCTTCTTCATGCGGAGGGCGTGTTCCAAGGCCACGTGCAGAGCAAAGCGATTGATTTCCTGCAGCTGCAATTGCTTGCACATTTCTACTATGAGACTGATGTCCTGAAAACAAAATAATAGATCAATAAGGGCAATAAATTCCTGGTTATTTAAGCACTGTAAAATACTAAATTAAAACATCAATATGGGTAATAAATTCTTGGTGATTTCAAGTATTGTAAAATACAAATATTAATTACGGCAACAAATTCATGGTGATTTAAACAAATTTTATCTTAATGAGAGTCTGCCACTAAGGCAGAGTGACCTGAAGAAACACATTCACCATCATTCAATCGGTCCATACACATATTTATTAAACTTAGTGCGTTTTACATATTTTATCTGTTATTTGTAACCCTCTGGGTTAAAAATCTGAAGACAATCTTCTCTGGATGGTTGTACCTCCGTGGATGGTAGTACCTCCATGGATGGTAGTACCTCCCTGGATGGTTGTACCTCCCTGGATGGTTGTACCTCCCTGGATGGTAGTACCTCCCTGGATGGTTGTACCTCCCTGGATGGTTGTACCTCCCTGGATGGTAGTACCTCCCTGGATGGTAGTACCTCCCTGGATGGTTGTACCTCCCTGGATGGTAGTACCTCCCTGGATGGTTGTACCTCCCTGGATGGTTGTACCTCCCTGGATGGTAGTACCTCCCTGGATGGTAGTACCTCCCTGGATGGTTGTACCTCCCTGGATGGTAGTACCTCCCTGGATGGTAGTACCTCCCTGGATGGTAGTACCTCCCTGGATGGTTGTACCTCCCTGGATGGTTGTACCTCCCTGGATGGTAGTACCTCCCTGGATGGTTGTACCTCCCTGGATGGTTGTACCTCCCTGGATGGTTGTACCTCCCTGGATGGTTGTACCTCCCTGGATGGTTGTACCTCCCTGGATGGTTGTACCTCCCTGGATGGTTGTACCTCCCTGGATGGTTGTACCTCCCTGGATGGTTGTACCTCCCTGGATGGTAGTACCTCCCTGGATGGTTGTACCTCCCTGGATGGTAGTACCTCCCTGGATGGTAGTACCTCCCTGGATGGTTGTACCTCCCTGGATGGTTGTACCTCCCTGGATGGTTCTACCTCCCTGGATGGTTGTACCTCCCTGGATGGTAGTACCTCCCTGGATGGTAGTACCTCTCTGGATGGTTGTACCTCCCTGTATGGTTGTACCTCCCTGGATGGTTGTACCTCCCTGGATGGTTGTACCTCCCTGGATGGTAGTACCTCCCTGGATGGTTGTACCTCTCTGGATGGTTGTACCTCCCTGGATGGTTGTACCTCCCTGGATGGTTGTACCTCCCTGGATGGTTGTACCTCCCTGGATGGTAGTACCTCCCTGGATGGTTGTACCTCCCTGGATGGTTGTACCTCCCTGGATGGTTGTACCTCCCTGGATGGTAGTACCTCCCTGGATGGTTGTACCTCCCTGGATGGTAGTACCTCCCTGGATGGTTGTACCTCCCTGGATGGTAGTACCTCCCTGGATGGTTGTACCTCCCTGGATGGTTGTACCTCCCTGGATGGTTGTACCTCCCTGGATGGTTGTACCTCCCTGGATGGTTGTACCTCCCTGGATGGTTGTACCTCCATGGATGGTTGTACCTCCCTGGATGGTAGTACCTCCCTGGATGGTAGTACCTCCCTGGATGGTAGTACCTCCCTGGATGGTAGTACCTCCCTGGATGGTTTTACCTCCCTTGGATGGTTGTACCTCCCTGGATGGTTGTACCTCCATGGATGGTTGTACCTCCCTGGATGGTTGTACCTCCCTGGATGGTTGTACCTCCCTGGATGGTTGTACCTCCCTGGATGGTTGTACCTCCCTGGATGGTTGTACCTCCATGGATGGTTGTACCTCCCTGGATGGTAGTACCTCCCTGGATGGTAGTACCTCCCTGGATGGTAGTACCTCCCTGGATGGTAGTACCTCCCTGGATGGTAGTACCTCCCTGGATGGTAGTACCTCTCTGGATGGTAGTACCTCCCTGGATGGTAGTACCTCCCTGGATGGTTGTACCTCCCTGAATGGTAGTACCTCCCTGGATGGTAGTACCTCCCTGGATGGTTGTACCTCCCTGGATGGTAGTACCTCCCTGGATGGTAGTACCTCCCAGGATGGTAGTACCTCCCTCGATGGTAGTACCTCCCTGGATGGTAGTACCTCCCTGGATGGTAGTACCTCCCTGGATGGCAGTACCTCCCTGGATGGTAGTACCTCCCTGGATGGTAGTACCTCCCTGGATGGTAGTACCTCCCTGGATGGTAGTACCTCCCTGGATGGTAGTACCTCCCTGGATGGTAGTACCTCCCTGGATGGTAGTACCTCCCTGGATGGTAGTACCTCCCTGGATGGTAGTACCTCCCTGGATGGTAGTACCTCCCTGGATGGTAGTACCTCCCTGGATGGTAGTACCTCCCTGGATGGTAGTACCTCCCTGGATGGTAGTACCTCCCTGGATGGTAGTACCTCCCTGGATGGTAGTACCTCCCTGGATGGTAGTACCTCCCTGGATGGTAGTACCTCCCTGGATGGTAGTACCTCCCTGGATGGTAGTACCTCCCTGGATGGTAGTACCTCCCTGGATGGTAGTACCTCCCTGGATGGTAGTACCTCCCTGGATTGTAGTACCTCCCTGGATTGTAGTACCTCCCTGGATGGTAGTACCTCCCTGGATGGTGGTACCTCCCTGGATAGTTGTACCTCCCTGGATGGTAGTACCTCCCTGGATGGTAGTACCTCCCTGGATGGTAGTACCTCCCTGGATGGTAGTACCTCCCTGGATGGTAGTACCTCCCTGGATGGTGGTACCTCCCTGGATAGTTGTACCTCCCTGGATGGTAGTACCTCCCTGGATGGTGGTACCTCCCTGGATAGTTGTACCTCCCTGGATGGTTGTACCTCTGTGGATGGTTGTTGTCTACCAACCTACTATCAGAGTGCAAAACATTTATCAGGCTTGTGTATCACAGTCCTATGGAGAGAGCATAGTGCCTCCCTAGTTAGGTACCGTCTACCAACTGACTACAGGAGGGCACCTCATTTACAATGCCTAGTTTCAGTGTTCCATGTTTTAACTGGCTGGAAATTGAGCCATTGTTCATTATGCTCCACCCACCGGCGGTTCTCACCAGTGGGTGGAACAACGGCTCAATTGAAAGCCAACGAAAATGTGGAACACTGAAAATAAGTGGTTTAGGGTGAGTCCTCGACTTATTACATCACTATTGAGTATAATATCATTATTACACACAATTCAGAAGGTCCCCAATGTGTTCATAAGCTGAGGACTTACTGTGTACTTCAGGCCCTCTTGTACCATTTCAAAAAAAAAAAGACACACAGATTGCTTACTGTGTGAGCGTAGACCATCTCCTGTACATAGACGGCAGCATTGGCATAGAGGTGATTATTGTTGTGTATCAGCGGGATCAAGGGCATGAGATACACAGCCTCACGCAAACAACCACAGTGTATCAACTGCAGAATCGTCCGCGACAAATCCAGACGACTTTCACTTTCCCTCATTAGTTGCACAACCTGCAAACAAATGATATATTTAAACTGCTTATATGTACGTTTATTATATACTCATTGATTCAATCTTACTGGGTATGTTTAACGTCCTTAACCCTTAAACGGTCCAAACAGATCGACGTTCAAATTCGTAGTGCTACAAAAGTAGATCTATTCTTTTTTATATATTTTCAAATATAACAACAAAAAATGTAGATAAAAGTTTTTTTTACACGTTTTCACATGTAAAACAAAAAAGATCTACATTTTTTACATACTTTCAGATGTTGAAAAAACGTATATATACGTCTGGACCATTTAACGGTTAAATACATACAGTGGTCCCCTTGGGTATCCATGAGGGATACGTTCCAAGACGTACCGTGGATACCTGAAACCGTGGATAGCAGCCAACTCTATATAGTACGTTATTTTTCGTTTACATACCTATGATAAAGTCTAATTGATAAATTATACATAAGTGAAGAATTAGCACTTTTTCACTTATGGGAAGCATTTTACTGCCTCTCTTAGGCTTTGAAGTACTGCCACCATCACTACTTTTGTGCTTTGGGGTTATTATTGCGAAATTAAGGGTAATTTTCAAGCCACGGTAGCCCATGGTTAACTGAATCCATGGATACAAGGGCTCTACTCTATATGTAATGAACTCACATTAAGATGTAATAAACAAGTGTAAATGAATAAACAGTTCAGATATGATGCAGTCTTGAGGGAGGTAAGAACACATCTACTGATAAAGTTCCTGAAGTTGCTGGGACAAGAGAAGAAGTTCAGTTGGGATATAGTCGGTGCCTCTGATGGAATATAATACAGCCTCTCCCCACTTAACGATGGAGTTCCATTCTTAAGACGTCAGTAAATGAATTCGACACTAAGTGAGGAGCATACTACAATGGTAGTGGGTTTAGCTAAGATATTGTGTAGTTTTAAAAAGAGGTTGGATAAATACATGAGTGGGTGTGGGTGGGTGTGAGTTGGACCTGACTAGCTTGTGCAACTAGGTCGGATGCCGTGTTCCTCCCTTAAGTGACGTGACTAACCTGACTAGGTCAAGGCATTGGCTTAAGCCGGTGAGAGAATTGGAGCTGCCTCGCATAGGCCAGTAGGCTTGTTGCAGTGTTCCTTTTTTCTTATGTTCTTATGTTACGTGAGGAGATACAGTACAGTATAAGTTCCGATTCATGAACTGAAGTTCAAGCCCCTGCCCATCCTCCTATTTATTCATATATATGTAACATTCATTTCCCCTGTAGTTGTAAGTTTTTTTTTTCATCAAATCAGCCATGTCCCACCGAGGCAGGGTGACCTAAAAAGAAAAATGAAAGTTTCTCTTCTTAACTTTAGTAATGCATACAGGAGAAGGGGTTATTAGCCCCTTGCTCCCGGCATTTTAGTCGCCTCTTACGACACGCATGGCTTACGGAGGAAGAATTCTGTTCCACTTCCCCCTGGAGATAAGAAGGAATAAACAAGAACAAGAACCAATAAGAAAACAGAAAAAAATCCAGAGGGGTGTGTATATATATGCTTGTACAAGTATGTGTAGTGTGACCTAAGTGTACATAGAAGTAGCAAGACGTACCTGAAATCTTGCATGTTTATGAAACAGAAAAAAGACACCAGCAATCTTACAATCATGTCAAACAATTCCAGGTTTCCATTTTACACTCACTTGGCAGGACAGTAGTACCTCCCTGGGCGGGTGTTGTCTACCAACCTACTACCATAGGACGGTAGTCCTGTGGTAATAGGTTGGAAGACAGCAACTACTACCACAGGATGGTAGTTCTGTGGTAGTAGGCTGACCCGCTGGATGTATTTCAACTTAGAACCAGTGAATATATTTTACACCAATACGGAACTTACATAATCTAAATTTTCAAAGTTGGCCCCAGATTGGCCACTCTTGGCCAGGTGCAGCAGAAGCCATGTCAGTTGAGCGTGAGATAAGGCTATGCCAGCTTGTTTCATCTGTGTTTCCACTTGCTTCATCTTGGCAGCATGTCCAGACACGCCATAAGCATACATCATGGCTTCATAGGTGATGCTGGTGGGTGTGATCTGCATGCTCGTCATAGCACCCAACACTGATTCTATACTCTTACAATCACTGCAAAGAAATTATTATTATTATTATTATTATTATTATTATTATTATTATTATTATTATTATTATTATTATTACAATCATAACCATGTGCTAAACCCACAACGGTCCTGAATAGAAATTAATAAAATATTTACAATTAGTGGAAACAAATTAACCCATAAACTGGTAGTGATGGATCTGCCATACTTTGTAAAAATCTGCTGAAGAGGACCCCAGAAAGGGGTCAAAATATACAGATCAATTAATTTCCTGAGTTTGTCTCCATGTGGGTTATTACTGCACAACGACAAGTTTATTTAAACATTACACATTTAGACAGCAATGGGTGACACCTGAGATGCTATTGAAAGCCCACTCAATAACCTATGTCTAACTTAAGTCTAACTTAGGTCTAACTGAAGCCTAACCTAAGCTTAACTTAAGTCTAATCTAAGTCTGAAAGCATTAAGATTAGTCTGCCTGAGATACACATGCATGCTTATGGCTTTCTATGTTTATATTTATTTATTTATTAACACATCAGCCGTCTCCCACCAAGACAGGGCGACCCAAAAGAGAAGAATCACTTTCATCATCATTCACTCCATCACTGTCTTGCCAGAAATGCTTTGTGCTTAACAGTACACCTACCATCTGACTTACGACCTGCTCGACATACAACCACTCAACTTATGACCAGGTTTTTTATGCCAAATTTCTGGGAAATAAACAAGTGTTTGTGTTATACACAGTGTTTATCCTAAACCTTATGGTATAAAATACAGTACTAACAGTAAAGTAAAAAATGAAATACCAAAATAAAACAATAAGATAAAATCATTACAAACGTGTGATGTTGATATTCAGTAGTAAGGTTCGACTTATGTCCATTCTGACTTATGACCGGTTGGTCAGAACCAAGCTTGGTCGTAAGTTGGATGGTACCTGTATTTTAATATACGTAAACTACACTTCGTATACCGCACAAGTAAACAGGTGGCAGGTTGGTATACAGCAACCATCCAGAGGTACAGTACCTCTGTCCTCTCAAACATGGGTGTCATGGAAACCGGCTGGATTTTCTGCACCTTGGTAGGGTTGTTGATCTTTTCTGTCTTGTGAACATGTAAAATGACATGTAAACCTCACAAACTTACCAGGGGATGGGTGGGGGGTTAGAACCCAGGGCACATGAGTGTTAAAACTCATGACAGTGTGTTAACCACTGGATCAGATGGCTCTAATAAGATATACACTGTAGGGAGGTTAGCATGGGCCACCACTGTGACCACAAATGCTGATTTTTACAGATGAATCTCTCACCAGCCATGCTGGTGAGGTTAACAAACCAGCCTACAAGTTTCAGGACTTGCTTGCCGTGGATTCAAACCCCATCCATTCCGGAGTTGCGTTCCTAAGACCACGTTGGTAAACGAATTCATTGCTAAGTGAGGAACATACTATAATGGTAGTGGGTTTGTGCCAACGATCTTTGATATTGTTTTAATGTCACCTTTGTACTATTTATAACATTTCTGGCATATTTTGAAACGCTTATACAGTAGTGTACTGTATACGTATTGTAATAAACAGAATAGAGGAAATCAGCTCTAATATACGTAAGTCCAATTCATCGGTGTGTACTTTTAAAAATAGGTTAGATAAATACACGAGTGGGTGTGGGTGGGTGTGAGTTGAGCCTGACTAGCTTGTGCTACTAGGTCTGATGCCTTCCTCCTTCCTTAAGTGGAAGTGACCTGACTAGGTGGGTCATTGGGGTAATCCAGGGGGGTGACCATGGCCCTGCTTCGCATGGGTCAGTAGGCCTGCAGTGTTCCTTCTTTCTTATGTTATGTTCTTAAACAAGTACGTCATTAAGTGAGGAGAGGCTGTACACACTTACAACAGCAGCCTCGTAAGTTTGCCAGAAATGCTCCAGTATGTTAGTGGCTTTCTTTGTACGTAATACATTACATGTTAACTACAGTTTGTATACTATACAAAGAAATCAAAATTTTGATTCTGTTTTTTATTTTTAATTCTGACAATATTTTTTTTTTTTTTTTTTTTTTTTTTTTTTTTTTTTTACACAGGGTTTGACAAGGTTAAGGATCCCTAGCTTTATTGACAGCTATTTACAGGTTAAGGATTCCTAACTTTATTGGCAAGCTAAGAGCTGTTACCTACATCAGCTCATTTGAAAGCATTTTTGTTATGAGACATACAAGTAGGGAACAGGATGAAGTTTCAGCCCATTCTGAAACACTGTCAGGTCACAACTGGGTGAGGAGTGTTGAGAAGGTCTAAAGACACTATGCCATTATAAGGGTCTTGTTTTAAGTGCAAGTTTTTGGTAAATAGAACCACTTGGGTCCTGGAGGTGGAAAGTGCAGTGCCTGTACTCTGAAGGATGGGTGGTTGTGGTGGGAAGTACAGTGCCTGTACTCTGAAGGATGGGTGGTTGTGGCGGGAAGTACAGTGCCTGTACTCTGAAGGAGGGGTGGTTGTGGTGGGAAGTACAGTGCCTGTACTCTGAAGGAGGGGTGGTTGTGGTGGGAAGTACAGTGCCTGTACTCTAAAGGATGGGTGGTTGTGGTGGAAAGTACAGTGCCTGTACTCTGGAGGGGTGGTTGTGGTGGGAAGTACAGTGCCTGTACTCTGAAGGATGGGTGGTTGTGGTGGGAAGTACAGTGCCTGTACTCTGAAGGATGGGTGGTTGTGGTAGGAAGTACAGTGCCTGTACTTTGAAGGATGGGTGGTTGTGGTGGAAAGTACAGTGCCTGTACTCTGGAGGGGTGGTTGTGGTGGGAAGTACAGTGCCTGTACTCTGAAGGATGGGTGGTTGTGGTGGGAAGTACAGTGCCTGTACTCTGAAGGATGGGTGGTTGTGGTGGGAAGTACAGTACCTGTACTCTGAAGGAGGGGTGGTTGTGGTGGGAAGTACAGTGCCTGTACTCTGAAGGATGGGTGGTTGTGGTAGGAAGTACAGTGCCTGTACTTTGAAGGATGAGCGGTGGTATTTGCATTTCTGAATGGTCGTATCGGCACACCTCTGGCAAGACAGTGATGGAGTGAGTGATGATGAAAGTCCCTCTCTTTTGGGTCACCGTGCCTCCGTAGGAGACAGCCGAATTGTTAAAATTAAAAACCACTAAAATAGGTAAACCCATATGGGTGATGCAACACTGCATTGCTAGCATTGAAAGACTCACTCGGTTGAAGCGTGTGCCATAATGAATGCACTGAAGATGGTCTCTGTGACTGGCAAGTTCCTCTCCTTCATAAGAGCCAAGACCCTAGTAGCCCCAGCCAGGTCTCCGCTGCGACCCACCACCAGTATCAACGACTCCAACACTTTATAACTTGCTTCCAGTTGATGCGTCTCCATGAGGTCCAATATGTCCTATTGAAAATACATTTGATAAGCATACAGTAGAAACCCCATATCCGGAGATTTACTTTCCGCTGTTTCAGTTATCTGTGGTTTACTGTGACTAGAAAATAACACTTTAAAACCTAAGAGAAGCTGTAAAGTGCTTCCCGTCAGTGAAAAAGTGCTAATTCTCCCGTTATTGTGCATAATTTATCAATTTAACTTTATCATAGGTACAATGTATATAGGCTTGGCTACTATCTGTGGTTTCGAGCATCCACCGTAGATCTTAGAACATATCCCCTGCAGATACCCGGAGTATACCAGAAGATGGCTTTGGAGGTCAACACCCCTGTGGCCCGGTCTGAGACCAGGCCTTGTGGTGGATCAGGGTCTGATCAACCAGGCTGCTACTGCTGGCCACACAGGGATACGTGGGGGACTACTGTACTGATGGTGTCACAGATACCAATCCTCCAAGAATGCCCGACTCGGTCGCTGGGTTTGGTCAACTCATTTTCAATTCCTTCCTCCTCTTCCAGAAAATAAGACTTAAACAACTTTGAGTAAGTGGAAAACACTGGCAACAGTGAATTGTGAGAACGGAAACAGAGTATAATAATAATATAATATCTTCATTTACTACAAGTACATGTACAAGGTATACAGGCCTAGCTGACAACAATGACATACTACTGTATAGAAAGCCCCTTGTTATGCTCCGCATGTCGGGCAAATTAGGTCAGTGTCCCAGGATGCGACCCACACCAGTCCACTAACACCCAGGTACCCATTTTACTGATGGGGAACATAGACAACAGGTGGAAAGAAACACGTCCAATGTTTCTACTCTGGCTGGGAATCGAACCCAGGCCCTCACCTGGGTTATTTTCAGGTCATGATAAACCGTAGAAATTGAATCCATGGATATGTGGGCTCTACTGTATAAGCATATAATAATTACTGCCGATGTAGTCTTAAGTTAGGTCTAAGTTTGCCCAAAAATGTTCTGCATATTATTATTATTATTATTATAATCAAGGGGAAGCGCTAAACCCGGAGGATTATACAGCGCCTGGGGGGATGGATGTGGAAGGCATTCAGGCTTAATTCGGGGAACTGGAGCACAGATCCAACTCCCTAAATCAAGAGCCCCTCACCAACATCAAAAACCCTTTCCCTTAGGGGAAAGTTCGCATAACTATGGGATTTCACGCATACAGGAAAATTCCCATTTATACAAAAATGGACAATGTGGAAATAAATCATTGATTTTTTCGACTTTTAGTAAAAATCAGGGTATGTATGACCGTTAGGGGCTGCTAGCTGGGGGGTATGCATTTTAGCTCACACTGTGAATTCGTGGTTCAATCCCCCGGATATAGAAACATTAGGACGTGTTCTTTAAGACACCGTGTCCATTTCACCTAGCAGAAGTGTACCTGGGTATTATGGACGGTGGGTCCATCCCCGGGGGCAAAAATACCTAATTGCAGGGAAAACTGTACAAACAAGGAACTTTCTATATAGTAATAGTCATAGGTTCAGCTAGGTCTGTATAAGTTGTATCATGTATTTTTATAATAAGATTATTTTATGGTGCACAGTATTTGCTCTTATGAAGTGATACTAGTTCGCCATAGCTGTTGGGTACTGCTATTTCCGGGGGCGGGGTTAATCAGTTTGAACTTCAGCACCTGGGGGCGCACGATCATCAGCCTCCTGTTTTGTACATGTTGGTACACGATATTGACAAAATGAGAATCTTTTTTTTTGTATGGTATTTGTACTTACTTACTTACTGTATGCACTGTACTGCACTGCTTGACGCCTGTACGTGCTCACTGCACTGACTGCACTTTTAAAGTACTTTAAGCAATGACTGTTTCTGTCTGTATTCAATTACGTACTCTCTGCACTGAACCAACGTACTGTACTGTATTGTCTGCACACTCAAAAATGCCAACACGTACACATTCCCCGTTAAACCTACGCTATTATAATTTGCCGATCTTACCTCAGATGTACACAAGGGGTCAGTGTGCAGATTTATACGTAGATATAAGTCAATGTGCTCCAGGGTGAGTCTGGCATCTGAAATCATTTAAAACTTGTATTAAAACATACAAAATCATTTAAAACTTGTATTAAAACATACAAAATCATTTAAAACTTGTATTAAAACATACAAAATTATTTAAAACTTGTATTAAAACATACAAAATCATTTAAAACTTGTATTAAAACATACAAAATCATTTAAAACTTGTATTAAAACATACAAAATCATTTAAAACTTGTATTAAAACATACAAAATCATTTAAAACTTGTATTAAAACATACAAAATCATTTAAAACTTGTATTAAAACATACAAAATCATTTAAAACTTGTATTAAAACATACAAAATCATTTAAAACTTGTATTAAAACATACAAAATCATTTAAAATGGGTATTAAAACATACAAAATCATTTAAAACTTGTATTAAAACATACAAAATCATTTAAAACTTGTATTAAAACATACAAAATCATTTAAAACTTGTATTAAAAACATACAAAATCATTTAAAACTTGTATTAAAACATACAAAATCATTTAAAACTTGTATTAAAACATACAAAATCATTTAAAACTTGTATTAAAACATACAAAATCATTTAAAACTTGTATTAAAACATACAAAATCATTTAAAACTTGTATTAAAAACATACAAAATCATTTAAAACTTGTATTAAAACATACAAAATCATTTAAAACTTGTATTAAAACATACAAAATCATTTAAAATGGGTATTAAAACATACAAAATCATTTAAAATGGGTATCAAAACATAGAAAAGAAATTGTATGTTGTTCAACACTCATAAAAAGAGTATATATTTGATTACAATCAATACACGTTTCCACAAAATATTTGCTTGTATAATGTAGGCCCTTTGTAGGCCTACCTACCTAATACGGCAGGCCGGGTTCCAGACTGCTGCCACAAAGCAAATCAGTCTTTTTTTTCACTTGCCGGTGTGTAGTAACCCTTTGAGGGTTTCGGCCGTAATAGTACGGCTTACGACCCAGGGTTTTTGACGTACTAGTACGCCTAAATTCTAGCGGCCTCAAATCTAGTGGGAGAAAGCTGGTAGGCCTTCATATGAAAGAATGGGTCTATGTGGTCAGTGTGCACGGTATAAAAAAAATCTTGCAGCACACAGTGCATAATGAGAAAAAAAAACTTTGACCATTTTTTTTAATAAAACAGCGACTTTGCACTGTATTTTCGTATGGTATTTATTGTTGTATTCTAGTTTTCTTGGTCTCATTTTATAGAATGGAAGACATATTACAGAAATAGAGATGATTTTGACTGGTTTTACAGTGAAAAGTACCTTGAAATTGAGCTCAAATTAGCAGAAATGTTCAATTTTTACCAAAGTTCAAAAGTAAACAAATCATGCCAAGCGTCCAATACACGTCAACTGGTGAGTCTAATATTCTTTCGCAAGTACGCCAATATTATTTATACCATTTGTTACACTAATGCATTAGTCTGCATAACAGTAAATCTTCTATTTTTTGTGAGAATAAAAATTCAAAGTGGAAAGCAGAAGAATATAAGAGGGGCCTTGAGACGTGACTAATGACTAGAGGAAATGTCATTTTAGTGCCAGGAATGTCTTTCTTGTTTATTCTGAACCCTATTCGAAAAATTGGCATTTTTTGAAATTTGTGTGAAATTGGCAAAATTGCTAAATTCTGACCACTGTACTGGATAGTTGAAATTGGTAAATGGGTGGTTTCTTGCACGCATTCAATAGAAAAAATGGAGTTCTAGTGAAATATTCATGTTTTTTGTCGACTAGTACAGTGGAACTGGCCGAAAATGGGGCTCAAAGTGGGCAAAATCGCTGATCCGTAAACATCGCAGAGACCACTAACTTCGCGAGAGCATAATTCCGTAAGTTTTCCATCAAATTTCAAACTTTTGGTGTCATTATGATCGGGAAAAGATTCTCTATCTTTTCATAAGAGAAAATTATTATTTTTTTTTTTTTAAATTTGGCCGACCCTGAGAACGAGTCTCGGAGAGGGCCTGTCGACCCTCAAAGGGTTAAGGCCTAAAATATGCTTGCACTATCATTTACTAAGTGCATAATAGTGCTAGGCCTACAGAATGATGCAAAAATAAAAATAATAGGTAAAAATATTGAAGATTAAAGACAACCATCTTGAAAGCAAGGCAAGTGCTGAAAATAATAAATGTGAATATAACTGAAAAAGCGCCGTATTAGCGAAGTGCTTTAAAGCGAGTGCTGTATTAACCAGGTGTACCTGTGTAACATCTGACTTCACTTACATTAAAGTTAACTAAACACCATCCTCACAATAATATGCGTAAATGATAATACTACGTAATAAAGTTGGTAGAATTACCGACAATATGTAAAGTAAAAGGACACAAGTGCAACTAATGTGACATTTATTGTGGCAACGTTTCGCTCTCCAGGAGCTTTATCAAGCCATTACGGCTTGATAAAGCTCCTGGAGAGCGAAACGTTGCCACAATAAATGTCACATTAGTTGCACTTGTGTCCTTTTACGATAATACTACGGCGTCCAGTAGCTGTGTTGCTAGTTCGCACACTGAGGGTCAGGGGTCAATCCCCAGTATGGCTGGAAACATTAGGACCTGTTTCCTTAAGACACCTGTTGCCCCTGTTCACTTTTCAGTATAATAGGTACCTGGGTGTTAGTCACCTTACACCTGCTGTCAGTGTTCACCTAGCAGTAAGTAGGTACCTGGGTGTTAGTCACCTTACACCTACTGTCACTGTTCACCTAGCAGTAAGTAGGTACCTGGGTGTTAGTCACCTTACACCTGCTGTCAGTGTTCACCTAGCAGTAAGTAGGTACCTGGGTGTTAGTCACCTTACACCTACTGTCACTGTTCACCAGCAGTAAGTAGGTACCTGGGTGTTAGTCACCTTACACCTACTGTCACTGTTCACCTAGCAGTAAGTAGGCACCTGGGTGTTAGTGGACTGGTGTGGGTGGCATCCTGGGGAACAAGATTAAAGGCCCACAATGGAAATAAGACAAACAGTCCCTTGATGACGCATTGACTTCCTTAGTTTATCCTAGATGGCTAACCCTCCAGGGTTAAAAATCCAAATGAAATCTTCTTGTCTATCAACCTTTTAATTTATTAAAGTAAGCAGCTGCTAAAAGGTGAACTACTACGCTGTGTCCCGTAAACACAGATTAAACAGGTGGTCCTCGACTCATGATGGAGTTACTATCCAACGAACCCATCGTAAGTCGAGTAAGTTTATTCAGGTATACGCAATACAGTTACATAGATTATCATACATAGCAGCATATGTGTAGATAACCTGGGATAACCCAAAAAAGTCAGACAGAGTGACTTTTTTTCCATTGGGGTTTTTTAAATATCGTAAGTCAAAAATATCGCGAGTTGAAACTATCGTGTCAAAAATATCACGTCGAAAATATTGTGAGTCAAAAATATAATGTTGAAAATACAGCGAGTCGAAAATGTCGTGAGTTGAAAATATGGCAAGCCTAAAATATTATAAGTAGAAAACATCGTAAGTCGAATATATGCCAAATAAATAATTAAAAAAAATAATTAGTCACTGAATAAGTAAATTTGCAAATACAGTGGACCTCCGGTTTACGATATATTTCACTCCAGAAGTATGTTCAGGTGCCAGTACTGACCGAATTTGTTCCCATAAGGAATATTGTGAATTAGATTAGTCCATTTCAGACCCCCAAACATACACGTACAAACGCATTTACATAAATACACTTACATAATTGGTCACATTGGGAGGTGATCGTTAAGCGGGGGTCCACTGTACTTACTGTAACTAAATACCAGTATTGAAAAGTAAATAAATCAATACAAGTTATGGACTCGTCACCTTCACGTTCGGTAATTAAGTTTCAGCTCCAAAGTAATTACTTTTGCACCATCGTGAAGTTGAAATATTCTAAGTCGAGGAGCTCCTGTGTTTATATCAAAAACATAATTTATATAAAGCAGAATTTATATAAAAAACATAAAACCCCAAATTCAAAATTAGCCGGAGAATCGACTAACTTGATCTCTGGGAACACAGCTTCCAGACGCCCTGAACAACGCTCGCACACGGCCGGTAGTCATCCTGCGCCATCCTGAGGGTGAACCCCAGCAGCTTCTCGCAATCGCCGTCCGTCAGGTCGTCCGAGTGAGCCTCCAAGCTCGCTAGAGCTCTCTCCAGGTCGCTCACCGTCAACTGGCCGAGCTTCTCAAGCTTCATTTTCAGCATTTTGAAAGCTTCGGAAATTTCCGATTTGTCAATCTCGCCGAGCGGCGGTAGCGGCGAGTTGACGACTTCACTTGTACTGGACTTCGGAAGACTATTTTCCGCTCGTCTCTCAGTCGATGCTGACTGACCGTCGTAGAAAGTTGTGCTGAAACAATGATAAATTATGTTATTATTATTATTATTATTATTATTATTATTATTATTATTTTTATCATTATTTTTATTATTATCATTATTATTATTATTTTTATTATTATTATCATTATTATTATTTTTATTATCATTATATTATTATTATTATTATTATTATTATTATTATTATTATTATTATTATTATTTTTATTATTATTATTTATTATTGCAATTTTCAAATAGGAAGCAGTAAACCCGTAAGGGTTGTATATCGCCCAGAAGAGAAGTGGGGACACAGTAGACAACCAGACTTGATCCAAGGGAGAGGAGGAAAAAAAACAGCAGCTCCACCTCCCTGGATCAAGATCCCTCCCCTTTCCTCAACCCAGGACACCTCTCCCCCCTTTACGTTAATTAACGCCATTTTAACGGTTATTTAACGTACCTGCATAACGACCTTGCATTATGGAGGTCAAGATGGCGGCCATTAACGTATTTTACTAGTAATTTAGGTCGGTAATTAGCGGAATGTGTAATTAATGGTCGTTTAAGAGCAGCGAATTGTAGCAGCAACCTCAACCTGACGGCCATTGTTGTTGTGGGAATATAGGACCACCAGGACGATGTACCGTGTAGGACCACCAGGATGATGTACCGTATAGGACCACCAGGATGATGTACCGTATAGGACCACCAGGACGATGTACCGTATAGGACCACCAGGACGCTCCTGTCTGTCTCAACTACTGGATCACTACGACAAGGTCCTAAATGCACTAGAAGACAAAAAGAATGCAGATGTAATATATACAGACTTTGCAAAAGCCTTCGACAAGTGTGACCATGGCGTAATAGCGCACAAAATGCGCGCTAAAGGAATAACAGGAAAAGTTGGTCGATGGATCTATAATTTCCTCACTAACAGAACACAGAGAGTAGTCGTCAACAGAGTAAAGTCCGAGGCAGCTACGGTGAAAAGCTCTGTTCCACAAGGCACATTATTATTATTATAATCAAAAAGAAGCGCTAAGCCACAAGGGCTATACAGCATCCACAAGGCACAGTACTAGCTCCCATCTTGTTCCTCATCCTCATATCCGACATAGACAAGGATGTCAGCCACAGCACCGTGTCTTCCTTTGCAGATGACACCCGAATCTGCATGACAGTGTCTTCCATTGCAGACACTGCAAGGCTCCAGGCGGACATCAACCAAATCTTTCAGTGGGCTGCAGAAAACAATATGAAGTTCAACGATGAGAAATTTCAATTACTCAGATATGGTAAACATGAGGAAATTAAATCTTCATCAGAGTACAAAACAAATTCTGGCCACAAAATAGAGCGAAACACCAACGTCAAAGACCTGGGAGTGATTATGTCGGAGGATCTCACCCTTTAAGGACCATAACATTGTATCAATCGCATCTGCTAGAAAAATGACAGGATGGATAATGAGAACCTTCAAAACTAGGGAGGCCAAGCCCATGATGACACTCTTCAGGTCACTTGTTCTATCTAGGCTGGAATATTGCTGCACTCTAACAGCACCTTTCAAGGCAGGTGAATTGCCGACCTAGAAAATGTACAGAGAACTTTCACGGCGCGCATAACGGAGATAAAAACACCTCAATTACTGGGAGCGCTTGAGGTTTCTAAACCTGTATTCCCTGGAACGCAGGAGGGAGAGATACATGATTATAATACACCTGGAAAATCCTAGAGGGACTAGTACCGAACTTGCACACGAAAATCACTCACTACGAAAGCAAAAGACTTGGCAGACGATGCACCATCCCCCAATGAAAAGCAGGGGTGTCACTAGCACGTTAAGAGACCATACAATAAGTGTCCCGGGGACCGAGACTGTTCAACTGCCTCCCAGCACACATAAGGGGGATTACCAACAGACCCCTGGCAGTCTTCAAGCTGGCATGGACAAGCCCCTAAAGGCAGTTCCTGATCACCCGGGCTGTGGCCGTACGTTGGTTTGGGTGCAGCCAGCAGCAACACCCCTGGTTGATCGGGCGCTGATCCACCTGGGGGGCCTGGTCACAGCCCGGGGCCGCGGGGCGTTGCCCCCCGAAACTCTCCCCAGGTAAACTCCAGGTAATGGCCCACCGGGGACGCTGTACCGTATAGGACCACCAGGCGGGGGACCGTTTTGGGGACCACCAGGATGAGGTCCCCTTTATGGGAACCGGGAAAGATGTACCGTATAGGACCACCAGGAGATTTTTACCTTTATAGGACCACCGGGACGTTTACCATATGGGCCCACCGGGACAAATGTCCCGTAAAAGGAAACCACCGGGACGATGTACCGTATGGGGCCCCCAGGACGCTGTACCATATAGGCCACCGGGATGGTGATCGTATGGGACCACCAGGATGCTGTACCGAAAAGGGACCCCCAGGACAAATATATCATATAGGCCCACCAGGACACGTCCCATATAGGACCACCGGGGACGCTGTACCGTGTGGACCCCCAAAGGACATGTACTGTGTAGAACCACCGGGAATGCAACTGTGTGGGATCACCAGGACGCTGTACCTTTATAGGCCCAAAACCAGGGAATTTTTCCCTTTAATAGGCCCCACCAACGATAATCTTTATAGGCCCAACCAGGACGCTGTCTTTTTTAGGACCACCAGGCGCTGTACCGTAGGACCACCAGGCCCTCTCCCATGTAGGAAAACCAGGACGTTGTACGGTAGGACCACCGGGCGCTGTACCATATAGGACCACTAGGACGCTGAAACCTTTATGGGCCCACCGGGACCCCCCCCCCCCCTGTACCTTTATAGGACCCCCAAGGCCGTTTGGTATTGTTAGGACCAAAAGGCCCTTGTACCATGTGGGGCCCACCAGGACGCTGCCCTTATAGGACCACCAGGACCCCTGTAACCATACAGGACCACCAGGTGCTGTCCCATTGGGGAACCCCGGGGCCCGTGTCCCTGTAGGCCCAACCAGGACGCTGTACCATGAGGACCACCAGGAAAACTGTACCATGTGGACCCCAGGACACTGAAACCGTGTGGGAAACCACCAGGACGCTGTACCATGTAGGACCCCCAAAGGGAACCCCTTCCCCCAGTAGGACCACCAGGACCTGTCCCAAAGTAGGACCCCCAAGGACGCTTTACCAGTAGGACCCCCGGGGATCCCTGTCCCATGTAGGTCCACCAGGATCCCTGTCCCATGTGGGCCCACCGGGACGCTTTTACCGTGTAGGCCCAACCAGGACACTGTACCATGTGGGGACCACCAGGACACTGTACCATGTGGGGACCACCAAACGCGTACCGAAAAAGGACCACCAAACGCTATATCTTTTGGGAAACCCCAGGATGCTGTACCAAATAGGACCACCGGGAAGCGAACCAAACAGGACCACCGGGGCCCGCTATATCTTATGGGCCACCGGGGCCTTGACTGTATAGGACCACCGGGACGCTATATCGAATAAAAACCCCCCGGGGGGGCCCCCCCTTTTTTACCATGTAGGACCACCAGGATGCTGTACCATGTAGGACCACCAGGAAGCTGTACCATGCAGGACCACCAGGACGCTGTACCATATAGGGCCACCAGGATACTGTACCATATAGGACCACCAGGATGCTATATCATATAGGACCACCAGGATGCTGTACCGTATAGGACCACTAGGATGCTGTGCCATATAGGACCACCAGGATGCTATATCGTATAGGGCCACCAGGACGCTGTACTGTATAGGACCACCAGGACACTGTACTGTAGAGTACCACCAGGACGCTGTACCGTAGAGGACCACCAGGACACTGTACTGTAGAGTACCAAAAGGACGCTGTACCATAAAGGACCACCAGGACACTGTACCATAAAGGACCACCAGGACGCTGTACCGTAGAGGACCACCAGGATGCTGTATGTATAGGACCACCAGGACACTGTACCATATAGGACCACCAGGTCGCTGTACCATAGAGGACAACCAGGACACTGTACTGTATAGGACCACCACATTATTATTATTATAATCAAAAAGAAGCGCTAAGCCACAAGGACTATACAGCGCTGCAGGGCAGGAAGGAAGCGAGGGCATCAGGTGGCAAAAGGGAGATGGATGAGCAACAGGTTACGGATAACAGCGGGGCAGTGGATGGTGAAAGGGTAAAGGGCAGCAAGAGACTGAACCAGAAAGGGCTGAGGGGAGTGCGAAAAGTATCATCAGAGTTTGTGGAGTAAATCAGTCGTTGTCAAGAAGTCAATGAGAGAGTCAGGATTAAAGGAGGGTCCATCAGCAAGAAGGGAAGGTAAAGAGAGAGTAGGAAAAACGAAGACGACGTTGGAGGTAATTCTGCGTGCTCGTTGATAGAGAGGGCGTCTAACAGAATTTTGGCTAATCGATACTGGAACTTGACACTGCTCACAAAGAGGAACAGGGTGCCTCCCATGAGATACCCATGAGTAAGACGAGTGTGGCCAATGCGAAGGCGGGAGAGAGTGGTCTCCCAACCTCGGCACTGATGACAAAAAGACGGCCAGTAACCTATGCTCGGTTTAATTTAGAATGAAGTTTGTTACCGAGCAGAGTTGCCCCACGTTGTTCCCAAACGGGTGCGAAGGTGGGTAGCTATTGCAGCAAAATAGTCCAGAAAAATGGAACACCTCGATAGGAAATTGGTAGGTCATATACTGCTGACCGCGCAGCAGTGTCTGCCTGTTCATTGCCCTTACGGCGACATGACCAGGGACCCAACAAAAAACATATCTTTATGTTTGGTAGAGATACGGCGTAGCCAAAGTTGGATACGGAGAAACTAGGGGATGAGTGTATCAAAATTTTCGAATAGCCTGTAGAGAAACAAAGGGGGAGTCTGAGACTACTACAAAGATGACACAGGCATAGATGCGATACGAATAAGTGCTGCAAGAAGGGCATACAGTTCAGCAGTAAAAAATGCTAGCTGAAGATAGTAAATGCCCTCGTAGGGACGCTGTCCGGAAACACTGCTGCGAATCCGACCGCGTCGAAAAAATTAGAGCCATCTGTGTACACAGCGGTGGCATGAGAATGGAGTGGAAGTGATCAAAAAAAAGAGAGCGGGAAGCCACCGTAGGCAGTTGAGCTTTCGAGCAAGGGAGTGAGAAAGAACAGACCCGAACAGCTGGAACTTCCCAGGGGGGTAGGGAAAAGTGAGATGCTACATGAACATATAAAGGTGGTAACTGAAGGGAAGACAAGAGTGAAAGTAGGCGAAGAGAAAAGGGACGGAGCAAACAGGGGCGGCGAACGAATAAAGAATGTCTACTAATATCGGTGACCACCACAATGCTGTACTGTAGAGGACCACCAGGACACTGTACCGTAGAGGACCACCAGGACGCTGTACTGTATAGGACCACCAGGACACTGTACCATAGACCACCAGGACACTGTACCATAGAGGACCACCACCAGAACACTGTACCGTATAGGATCACCAGGACACTGTACCATAGAAGACCACCAGGACACTGTACCATAGAGGATCACCAGGATGCTGTACCATAGAGGACCACCAGGACGCTGTACCGTAGAGGACCACCAGGACACTGTACCATAGAGGACCACCAGGACGCTGTACCATATAGGACCACCAGGATGCTGTACCATATAGGACCACCTGGACGCTGTACTGTAGAGAACCACCAGGACACTGTACCATAAAGGACCGCCAGGATGCTGTACCGTATAGGACCACTAGGACGCTGTACTGTAGAGGACCACCAGGACGCTGTACTGTAGAGGACCACCTGGACGCTGTACTGTAGAGGACCACCAGGATGCTGTACTGTAGAGGACCACCAGGATGCTGTACTGTAGAGGACCACCAGGACAATGTACCGTAGAGGACCACCAGAATGCTGTACCATAGAGGACCACCAGGATGCTGTACTGTAGAGGACCACCAGGACTCTGTACCGTAAAGGACCACCAGGATGCTGTACCGTAGAGGACCACCAGGATGCTGTACCATAAAGGACCACCAGGATGCTGTACCGTGTATGACCACCAGGACACTGTACTGTATAGAACCACCAGGACACTGTACTGTGTAGGACCACCAGGATGCTGTACCATGTAGGACCACCAGGACACTGTACCATATAGAACCACCAGGACACTGTACTGTGTAGGACCACCAGGATGCTGTACCATGTAGGACCACCAGGACACTGTACCATATAGAACCACCAGGACACTGTACTGTGTAGGACCACCAGGATGCTGTACCATGTAGGACCATGATGATGCTGTACCATGTAGGACCACCAGGATGCTGTACCATGTAGGCCCACCAGGACGCTGTACTGTGTAGGACCACCAGGACGCTGTACCATATAGGGCCACCAGGACACTGCACTGTTTAAGGCCACCAGGACACTGCACTGTTTAAGGCCACCAGGACACTGTACCATACAGGGCCACCAGGGCACTGTACTCTTTAGGGCCACCAGGGCACTGTACTCTTTAGGGCCACCAGGACACTGTACCATATTGGGCCACCAGGATGCTGTACCATATAGGACCACTAGGACACTATACCATATAGGTCCATCAGGAGGTTGTACCGTATAGCTCCAATAGGGTGCACCATATAGTACCACCAGGAGACTGTACCATATAGTACCACCAGGAGTGTACTTTATAGGACCAAAAGGAGGTTGTACCATATATGACCACCAGAAAGTTGTACTGCATGGGGTCACCAGGACACTGTACCATATAGGTCCACAATTATTATAATCGAGGGGGAAGCGCTAAACCCTATAGGATTATACAGCGCCTGTGGGGGGGATCTAGAAAGTATTCAGGTTTAATTCAGGAAACTGGAGCACAGATCTAATTCCCTAGATCAAGAGCCCAAAGCCAGCATCAAGGAACCTTTCATGAGGGGTATAGGTCCATAAGGATGCTGTACCATATAGGGCCACCAGGAGGCCGTACCATATAGGTCCATCAGGAGGTTGTACCACATAGGTCCACTAGAGTGTACCATATAGTACCACCAGGAGACTGTACTATATAGTACCACCAGGAGAGTGTACCATATAGTATTACCACGAGGTTTACAGAGGAAGGATTCTTTTCCACTTCCTTCTATAAATTATCCTGCTCATACTCCAACAGCAAGCCAAACCACAAGAAAACCACTTGTCTCCACTCAATCTGATTAAACACCATGAATACTATAAAAAAGAAGGTAATAAATAATATTTCAATAGCAATTGATAAAATATATTTGCCGAACATGAGAAAAGATTTGTTTGGATTTTTAACACGGAGGATTAGCTAGCTAGGATAACCTGGGGTAGAGAGGGTTAGCCACCCAGGATAACCCAAGAAAGTCAGTGCATCATCAAGGACTTTCTGTCTTATTTCCACTGTGGTCCTGCACTCTTGTTCCCCAGGATGCCACCCACACCAGTCCACGAACACCCAGGTACCTACTTACTGCTAGGTGAACAGTGGCAGCAAGTGTAAGGTGACTAACACCCAGGTACCTACTTACTGCTAAGTGAGCAGTAGCAGTAGGTGTAACGAAACATGCCCAGCATTTTCACCCGTGTTGGGGATAGAACCCGGACACTCAGTTTGAAAGGTAAGTACGCTGCCAAGCAAGCCATGGGACACTAAATTTAGAAAGGAATCTTCAAGTTGTTAGCAGCGAGGAGTAACGACAGGGTCGAGAGGAAGGTCTTGGATGGTGACAGACCTTCCTGCTGCATCATCGTCCATACGCTCAGACCTTTTTCACCTGCATTTTGCACATCTGGAAAACAGAAGTTTTTTTTTAAATATTAAATACCCTAACACTCTTTGTTTTCATAAAATATGTGTGTTATTATGAGAGAATTCATGGGAAAGCACTAAACTATTATGAGTTATATAGTGCCTGGAGAATGGGAAGTTATTATTGTTGTTTTAATGTGCTAGCTGTCTCCCACTGAGGCAGGGTAACTCAAAAAGAAAAAGAAACACCTTTACCATCATTCACACTATCGCTGTCTTTGAAGAGAGACACAAATACAGTGTACCCCCGACTTACGATATTAATCCATTTCAGAGAGCACATCGTAAGATGAAATTATCGTACGTCGAATTAATTTTCCCCATAAGAAATAATGGAAATCAAATTAATCCATTCAAGACACCCAAAAGTATGAAAAAAAAAAAATTACATGAAATATACATTTTCCTACACACAAACAGAAGGATACATGCACAATATATATTGTGTAATGAAGAATAAATGACACTTACCTTTATTGATGATGTGGTGATAATTGATGGGATGGGAGGACGGGAGATGATGGAGCTGTATTATTTTTTGGAAGGGGAATCCCCTTCCATAAGGACCATGGTGGCTTATTTATCAGTTACAAGCACTAAAAACACTAGAATAATACAAAATGTTCCGAATGTATATGTGGAAGCAACCGCACTGGCTTGTAAACATTGGCACACTAACTGAAGGCAGGGCAGCTGAGGCGCGCTCAGGCCAGACAGATGCATGGAAACGTATGGGACAAATGATGTAAGTCGAGTTTTCCAACGTAGGTCGGGGTCAAATTTTTACACTGACAAGCATCGCAAGTAGGCTTTATCGTAAGTTGACGCCATCGTAAGTTGGGGGTCCACTGTATTGTTATTATGATCATAGAGAAGTGCTAAACCCATAGGGGTCACAGCATCTGGGGAGTGGAAGGTAATCAAAGCTTAATCTGAGGAAGGGAAGAGCAGCTACAACTGTTTGGATCAAGAGCCCCTCACCACTTCAGAAAGACTGAAATACTACAGCACTTAGCCTATAAAATTCACGTGTGAAAAAAAAAATAGAAATTCCAAAATTTTTAGGCAGCAAAGAACTCCAAAATATATTATTTAACAATTATAGGCCTACTTTTGGAAATACAGTAGGACCCTCATATCCACAGGTCCGGTATGTACGGTTTGACTTATCCAGGGTTTACCATGGCCAAAAAATAACTCTTAATTTTGCTTAATAATGACCCCAAAGTGCAAAAATATTGATGGTGGCAGTTGTTCAAAGCCTCAGAGAAGCTGTGAAGTGCTTCCCATCAATGAATAAGTGATAATTCTCCACTTGTGCATAATTCATCAATTAAATTTTATAATAGGTATGTATAAGATAAGATAAGATAAGATTTCGTTCAGATTTTTAACCCCGGAGGGTTAGCCACCCAGGATAACCCAAGAAAGTCAGTGCGTCATCGAGGACTGTCTAACTTATTTCCATTGGGGTCCTTAATCTTGTCCCCCAGGATGCGACCCACACCAGTCGACTAACACCCAGGTACCTATTTGCTGCTAGGTGAACAGGACAATAGGTGTAAGGAAACGTGTCGAATGTTTCTACCCACCGGGAATCGAACCCAGGCCCTCCGTGTGTGAAGCGGGAGCTTTAGCCACCAGGCCACTTATATACAGTGTTACCTTGGGATACGAACTTAATTCATTCCAGAAGACTGTTCAAGTGCCAATATGGAACGAATTTGTTCCCATAAGGAATAATGTAAATGAGATTAATCCATTTCAGACCCTCAAAAATACACTTACAAAAGCACTTACATAAATGCACTCAAATAACTGTTCAAGTTTTGAGCTGTTCGTATCCCGAGGTACCACTATACAGTGGACCCCCGCTTAACGATCACCTCCCAATGCGACCAATTATGTAAGTGTATTTATGTAAGTGCGTTTGTACGTGTATGTTTGGGGGTCCGAAATGGACTAATCTACTTCACAATATTCCTTATGGGAACAAATTCGGTCAGTACTGGCACCTGAACATACTTCTGGAGTGAAAAAATATCGTTAACCAGGGGTCCACTGTATATAATTCACTACTATCCAGGGTTTCAGTATTCACAGCAGGTCCTTACAACGCATCCCCCGAGGATATGGAGGTCCTACTGAACCAGTTTCTGCTAATCAAGATGCAACATTGCATCTCAAAATACAATACTACATGAGAAACATTTTTAATACATTTGCCGTCTTTCGCCAAAGTCAGGTGACCCAAAAAAAAAAAAATACATTCACTATTATTCATTCAATAGCTGAGAAACAGTATATTATAATTAGTATTTTCCTCTACATAACTGAAATATTGTATTAATTATAATAAAATTACATAATCGTTTTATAAAATATATTACAAGAATCATTATAGAGATGTAAAAACTAATAATTTTGTCTTTTTTCGCTTTTTCAGTCCGGGGATTCGAACCCCAGACCTCAGTGATGAGAGGTGCAGCTCTCACCACCGAAGATGTGCCTACTATAGCTCAGTAAGATATGATACTTTATCTTATCTTATCTTGTACAATGTTTGTACAAAAGTATGCATGCAGAAAGCCCCTTATTATTATTATAAGAAGTCTGAGACTTTGTATCTGCTGAAGAGGGGCTCAGACTGAGGCCCAGACCTCTTTCAATTTCCAAGTCGTTTCTCATTTTCCACCAGCATTTGCAACACTTTCATCCACAAAAACAGCAAATATTAAAAAACAACTCACTGTACACATCAAGGAGAGCGGCGAGAATGTTGCAGCGATCAACAACCTTACTCCCTTCACTGGCCTTCAGGAAATGTTGCAACGGCTCCTCTAATTCCATCCTTGAATACAATTTGCACATTTTGTTCACTTCATGAACATTCACCTCCTTACCTAAATTCTTAAAAGGCAAAAAAATAAAAATTTATAAGTTATTTTATCCCTCTGACCTTTACCACCACTAAAAATATATAAAAGTTATCCCTCTCACCTTTACTTCCACTGAAAATATATAAATGTTATCACTCTGACCTTTACTACCACTAAGAATGAGTCTCAATCATATGGCAGAATGTTTACAAAAGCCATACATTTTAACACTAGATTCCTCAACTTAAAATTATTAAGTTACAAACATTCAAACTAAAGGATGGTGAGCTTAGCGACCAGTTTCAAAGTTCAAAGGGACTGGGTGCTAGCCTTGCCCATCCTGTGATTTGTTTCCAATTGTCTTATTACGATTTTATGAGTCGATAACCTGGTCTGAAGCTTCATCTACAAATACAGATGTTCCTCAACTTAGCATGGATCAACTTACGATGGTTCAACTTACAATGGTTTGACTTCCAGTGTATTAAAAGAAGAAAAAGTTCACCACTGACCTGAAGTACTTGTCTGGCCTCATTGGGTAGTCCGGCCTCCAAGCAAGCGAACATCAAGTCGTGCTGTGCTTGTATGTTGCCATAACGCTGAGACATAAGGTCAAACAGGCGCTCCAGCAGACCTTCATTTGTTTTATATTCTTCACCACCACTGAAATATACATTCATTGTGAACATTAAAATGGATTTGAGAGGGACCTGACCTCCCAATGACTTCATTCTTACCTCTACTAGTGGCCTACTTCTCACCTCTTGGCAGTATATAAGGCTCCATCCTGTCACTTCAACTCCATATTGTTTCAGACTATGGAACAGACTGAGGGACTGACCACCTCAAAACTTCAAGGGTGATGGACTGATTACATCGTCTTCAAGTATTTTCTGCTTCTATCAACTTTTTTCTGTACTCGACTGAAGAAGCCTACTGTGTAGGCGAAACATTTTGAAATAAAGATACCTAACTGTTGCATATGTGTCTTACCTAACATACATTCATTGCATCATCGTAGTTTTGAACTGTAGTTTCAGTGCCTCTCTGGCAAGACAGTGAGGGAGTGAGTGATGGTGGAAATGTTTCTTCATTTTTGGGTCATCCTGCCTTGGTGAGAGATGGCCGATGTATTTAAAAATATAAAAAAATACTTCCCTCAACAGGATGTTGGTGAAGAGCTCTTAATCCAAGGAAATGGAGTGCCCCTTCCATGGATCAAACCTAACTGCCTCCTATTGCCCAGGAATCCATCCTTATGGGTTGGGCATTTCCCAGTAATTTTAATAATATACACAAAATCTAAATAAATATTTCTTGACTTATATTCAAGAAATATATATTTCTAGACTTTTATTCAAGAAATATTTCTTTCAAGCACTTGCTTTGAAGACTAAATTTGCAATTCTGTCACATAAGCAACAACGGTTTTGCCCAACAAGTCGATTATAAAGACTTTTGCAATACCTGCAGTTTACCTGGAGAGAGTTCCGGGGGTCAACGCCCCCGCGGCCCGGTCTGTGACCAGGCCTCCTGGTGGATAGAACCTGATCAACCAGGCTGTTGCTGCTGGCTGCACGCAAACCAACGTACGAGCCACAGCCCGGCTGATCCGGAACTGACTTTAGGTGCTTGTCCAGTGCCAGCTTGAAGACTGCCAGGGGTCTGTTGGTAATCCCCCTTATGTATGCTTCCACGGGAGTGGAACAGAATTCTTCCTCCATAAGCCAAGCATGTCATAAGAGGCAACTAAAATGCCAGGAGCAAGGGGCTAGCAACCCCTTCTCCTGTATACATTACTAAAGTTAACAAGAGAAACTTTTGTTTTTCTTTTTACTCCACCCTGCCTTGGTGGGATACAGCCGGTCTGTTGAAAAAAAAATTATATTAGTACAGTACGTAGTACCCTGGTATCCACAGGGATACGTTCCAAGAACTACTGTGGATGCCCCAAACTGTGGATAGTAGTGAACCCTATTTATAAGTTGCTTACATTTACATACATACCTATGATAAATTTTAACTGATAAATATGCACAATAAGTGGCAAATTAACACTTTTTCACTGATGGGAAGCACTTGACAGCTCCTCTTAGATAAATTAGGCATGTGCATCTCTTGGGTATCTTTACTGAGGAAACGTTTCGCCACACAGTGGCTTCATCACTCCAATAAAAAGGAGAATGGTGAAGAACAGGAGTAGTTTGAGGTAATAAGTCCCTCAGTCTTGAGTCGATGTGGTCAGTCCATCAATCTTGAAAAGAATACAGCATATCTGCAGAGAAGTAGCCTATATACCGTAGGCAGGAGAGGTGCAGCAGTCGTGACCAATGTGGAAGTAGGTCGTGCCCAAAGGTTAGGCAAGCAAAGAATTCCCAAGTATTAAGATCCCAAGATCCAGTGTCAGACAGGATTGTAGATGAATGGTTCAGAGAACCATGTCGGTTCTCTGAACCATTCATCTACAAGCTTCTATTAGGCTATGAAGAACTGCCACCATCACTAGTTTTGTGCTTTGGGGTTGTTATTAAGCAAAATTAAGGGTTTTTTTCAGGCCACGGTAAATCCTGGATAACTGAAACTGCGGTAACTGAATCCATGGATATGGGGTTCTACTGTATTTTTTTTTTTTTTTTTTTTCAACAAGTCGGCCGTCTCCCACCGAGGCAGGGTGACCCAAAAAAAAAGAAAGAAAATCCCCAAAAAGAAAATACTTTCATCATCATTCAACACTTTCACCACACTCGCACATTATCACTGTTTTTGCAGAGGTGCTCAGAATACAACAGTCAAGAAGCATACACATATAAAAATACACAACATATCCCTCCAAACTGCCAATATCCCAAACCCCTCCTTTAAAGTGCAGGCATTGTACTTCCCATTTCCAGGACTCAAGTCCGACTATATGAAAATAACCGGTTTCCCTGAATCCCTTCACTAAATATTACCCTGCTCACACTCCAACAGATCGTCAGGTCCCAAGTACCATTCGTCTCCATTCACTCCTATCTAACACGCTCACGCACGCTTGCTGGAAGTCCAAGCCCCTTGCCCACAAAACCTCCTTTACGCCCTCTCTCCAACCCTTTCGAGGACGACCCCTACCCCGCCTTCCTTCCCCTATAGATTTATATACTTTCCATGTCATTCTACTTTGATCCATTCTCTCTAAATGACCATAAATAAATAAATAAATAAATAAATAAATAACCATATTAATTCTCAAAAATATATCCGTCAATATATAGAAGAAATTTCTTGACAGATCTATGGCAGTTGTAAATACACAGTTGCAATAACTGTAAAAAATCAATATAAGTAATATGTTGGTAAAATATTTTAGCTTGTAAATGAAGTTAGGAACCGTAAACCTAACATTGTAAAACACTATGTAAAAAAAAATACAAAAAACAAGTCTGACTAACTCAACCTAAAATTAAGATATTGTCACCTGATAATGTGCAAAAAAAAAAAAATTAAAAAGTTTGATGGACTTGACCCAGAAAATAAGATGTCCTCACCTGATAATACCGTATATATCGATCTTTTTGTCAGTATTTTTATAATGGTGAAGAAGCAGCAGGAGAACTTCCATCCTCTTGGGAAGAAGACTATACCTGTTATAGAGTTCTTCGACAACCTCCACAGCACCGGGTAAGTCTTTACTGCAACGAAACTCTACGATTAGTAGGTCCAACAATGAATGATGATGTTTTGGTCCAACTTGGACCAAGAACTATTCACGGTAGTTAATGGTCCAAGTCAGACTGAAGCATTGTCATAAATTTTAAGCCTCATGTGTGCAGGTTACCTGGAGAGAGTTCCGGGGGACAACGCCCCCGCGGCCCGGTCTGTGACCAGGCCTCCTGGTGGATCAGAGCCTGATCAACCAGGCTGTTGCTGCTGGCTGCACGCAAACCAATGTACGAGCCACAGCCCGGCTGGTCAGGTTATCTGTACATCAGGGTGAAAATTATGATGCATTCTCTAAAAAAAAATATTTTTAACACATTGGCCACCTTCCATTTGAGGCTGAGCGACCTGCAAAAGAAACACTTTCACCATAATTCACTCCATCACTGTCTTGCTAGAGGCACACAGATACGACAGTTTAAAAGTCACTCTAAACAGCAAATATCCCAAACGTCTCCTTTACAGTGCAGACACTGTACTTCCCACCTCCAGGACTCAAGTCTAGCTAACCAGTAAATATTTATACAAGCATTAATACAACCATAAAAATCAATGGATTAGACACAGAATCTCTTTGGGAAGAATTTCTATGACAAGAAAAATAAATTTGAGGTTAGGTAATGAATCTGTAAACACATATCTACAGTGGACCCCCGGTTAACGATATTTTTTCACTCCAGAAGTATGTTCAGGTGCCAGTACTGACCGAATTTGTTCCCATAAGGAATATTGTGAAGTAGATTAGTCCATTTCAGACCCCCAAACATACACGTACAAACGCACTTACATAAATACACTTACATAATTGGTCACATTGGGAGGTGATCGTTAAGCGGGGGTCCACTGTACTTACACATAGATGCATATATTGTAAGAAACATATTAATCAACACGGAGTTAAACTAGCATAACTCAACAGTCTTATAAATTCATCCTACCTAGTACATGTATAGTATAATTGTGATGTCAATACATGTCTCATAATCAGCAAGAACACTGAGATGATAATAATAATTATTATAATTAGTAATAATAATTATCTGGAATTTTATGATTCTGGAGTGCTTGTTCTTTAGAGTTATAATTCTTGAATGCTTGTTCATTAGATATACGTTTTCACAAACGTTCACACATGGATTAAATATTATTTTCAGACTGTCAACAGGGATTTTTTAATGTGTTTGACTAACCTGTTCAACCTGCACTGCAACAAGGGCACGGCAATGAAATTTTTCGGCTCCGCCAGGCCCCCCGACAGAAGAATACCAAAGAGTCGCTTTGTTAAACCGTAATCGCACTTTGCAGCTGATGTGGTCAGCAGATTTCTACAGTTGTCTCTGATTTCACTGATGTTGATATCTTTCTTGACCTTCGACTGCAAATATTCCTCCAATATCTTAACTGCGTCTGTAAACAAGAATTTCGATTTTGTAAAATATTAAAAATAATAATGGGGAAAGTGGAATGTTGTATTACACAAAAACTACATTATTTTTGTACAGTATAAAAAGAAATAACTTGTTAGGTAAAAGGACACAAGTAGAACTAATGTGACATTTTATTGCGGAAACGTTTCCCTCTCCAGAAGCTTTGTCAAGATGTAACAGCTTGATAAAGCTCCTGGAGAGCGAAACATTGCCACAATAAAATGTCACATTAGTTCCACTTGTGTCCTTTTACCTAACATACTGTAGGTAATTGTACCAACATTAATACAGAAATAATCTGAATTGTAAGCCACAATTTTTCAGTTGCTTACCCTGGCTTCTCTCGCTGCCGACTAAGAGTGTACACAGGTCAATGACACTGCCCCAGTTGAGGCAGTGCGGTGGATAATCTACTTGAATAATGCAATGCATCTCAACCGCAGCATCAACATTCCTGTTTTTGACGAAGATGTTGAGAATGCTTGACATTGTTCCAAAGCTTGCTTTAACACTCCTGCCATTTGCTGTCTGTAAAGAAACAATAAGATGAGATAGGATAGGTAGAGTTAAGTACCCAGGATAGCCCAAGAAAGTCGGTGCATCATCAAGGACTGTTTGTCTTATTTCCAATGTGGTCCTTCAATCTTGTCCCCCAGGATGCCACTCACACCAGTCCACTAACACCCATGTACCTACTTACTGCTAGGTGAACACTGACAGCAGGTGTAAGGCAACTAACACCCATCCTTCAGAGTGCAGGCACTGTACCTCCCATCACCAGTACTCAAGTCTGCCTAACCAATTTCCCTGAATCCCTTCATAAATGTTACCTTGCTAACACTCCAACAGCACTTCAAATTATACAAACCACATGCCACTACCCACTCCACTCTAACAGTCTCAGACCTACCAAAAACTAATAATTCACTGTCTCACCTTCAGAAGATTCAAAACATTCTTGGTGTCATTACGAGTTGCATGCAACAGCAGCAAAATGTGAAGAGTTCCTTGCATATTTACACCGTCTGCTGCATAATCGACGAGGAAGTCATCCGCCGTCTCTGAAGTCTCACCCGGCTGCAAAAAAATCAATTTCCATTGGAGATAAATCGTGAAAACCTGTAAATATCTGGAAAGAAAATGACGTACAGCAGTTGTCCCTCATAATTAACGAATGCAGTATTAATAATATTATTATAATAAAAAAGAAGTGCTAAACCTGTAAAGGTAATATTAATACGGTGGGCCCCCGACCAACGACGGCATCGACTAATGCCTAATTCGTCTAACGATGCTCTTTGGCATAAAAATATTAACTCTACCAACGGTGAAAAACTCATCTAACAGTTTTGGTCCCGAACATGTCCATGCAGCCAGAGAGCGGCCTGAGTGCAGCCTGAGCGCGGCCTGAGCATGGCCTGAGCGCGACCTGAGTGCAGCCTGAGCGCGGCCTGAGCACGGCCTGAGCGCGGCCTGAGTGGGCCCAGCCACTCCAAGACTAAGTGTGCCAATGTTTACAAGCCGCTGCAGTCGATTCCACATGTACCTGGGCCATATTTTATATTATTCCAGTGTTTTTAGGGCCCCAAGAAAGCTTCTAGTACTAACCCTGTGGTAAAAAGGGTGAGAAATACTATCGAAATACTATCATACCACGGTCAGCTGCTGCTGCACCACTGTCAGCTGTTGCTGCACCACCATCAGCTGCTGCTGCACCACTGTCAGCTGTTGCTGCACCACTGTCAGCTGTTGCTGCACCACTGTCAGCTGTTGCTGCACCACTGTCAGCTGTTGCTGCACCACCGTCAGCTGTTGCTGCACCACCGTCAGCTGTTGCTGCACCACTGTCAGCTGTTGCTGCACCACCATCAGCTGCTGCTGCACTATGGTCAGCTGTACTACTGGAAGATGTGGAGAGACTGTTGTTGGTGTGGCTGACCGAGAATACTGAGAAATTAACCCCGGAGGGTTAGCCACCCAGGATAACCCAAGAAAGTCAGTGTGTCACCGAGGACTGTCTAACGTATTTCCATTGGGGTCCTTAATCTTGTCCCCCAGGATGCAACCCACACCAGTCCACTAACACCCAGGTGAACAGGAAAAAATGCCTGGAACTAGTGCTCATATTGGTGAATTTAAGGCCAGCAAAGGTTGGTCTGAGAGATTTAAGAATCATAGTGGCATACACAGTGTGATAAGGCATGGCGAAGCTGAAAAATTCCCAACAAGTGTTTGATTGTGAGGAAACAGGCGTGTTCTGGAAGACAATGCCAAACAGGACCTACATTACTCAGGGGAAAAAGGCACTCCCAGGACACAAGCCTATGAAAGACAGGCTATCTCTCATGTTGTAATGTTTGTGGGGATTGCAAAGTGAAGTCTTTACTCATGTATCACTGAAAATCGCAGAGTGTTTAAGAAAAACAATGTCTCATCACTCATCAATACTCTTCAATAAAGGTAAGTGTCATTTTAACATTTATTTATGTAGTTACTCTGCATGTCTTATTGTTTTATTTGTAGGGAAATGTATATTTCATTTAAAAAAAATTTTTTTTTAATACTTTTGGCTGTCTGGAACAGATTAATTGGATTTCCATTATGTATTTCTTATGAGGAAAATTAATTCAACTAAAGGCTAGCTCTCTGGAATGGATTAAGGCCGTTGGTTGGGGGTCCACTGTATAATAATACTCTCCTAAGATCTTCTGGTCTCATGGGAGGTGTTATAATGCCAGAGGCTCTTCATCCATGGAACTGGACTAATTATTGCCCATGTAGTTTTAAGTTACCTGGAGTTTACCTGGAGAGAGTTTCGGGGGTCAACGCCCCCGCGGCCCGGTCTGTGACCAGGCCTCCTGGTGGATCAGCGCCTGATCAACCAGGCTGTTGCTGCTGGCTGCACGCAAACCAACGTACGAGCCACAGCCCGGCTGATCAGGAACTGCCTTTAGGTGCTTGTCCAGTGCCAGCTTGAAGACTGCCAGGGGTCTGTTGGTAATCCCCCTTATGTGTGCTGGGAGGCAGTTGAACAGTCTCGGTCCCCTGACACTTATTGTATGGTCTCTTAACGTGCTAGTGACACCCCTGCTTTTCATTGGGGGGATGGTGCATCGTCTGCCAAGTCTTTTGCTTTCGTAGTGAGTGATTTTGTGTGCAAGTTCGGTACTAGTCCCTCTAGGATTTTCCAGGTGTATATAATCATGTATCTCTCCCTCCTGCGTTCCAGGGAATACGGGTTTTAGAAACCTCAAGCGCTCCCAGTAATTGAGGTGTTTTATCTCCGTTATGCGCGCCGTAAAAAGTTCTCTGTACATTTTCTAGGTCGGCAATTTAAACCTGCCTTGAAAGGTGCTGTTAGAGTGCAGCAATATTCCAGCCTAGATAGAACAAGTGACCTGAAGAGTGTATCATGGGCTTGGCCCCCCTAGTTTTGAAGGTTCTCATTATCCATCCTGTCATTTTTCTAGCAGATGCGATTGATACAATGTTATGGTCCTTGAAGGTGAGATCCTCCGGACATAATCACTCCCAGGTCTTTGACGTTGGTGTTTCGCTCTATTTTGTGGCCCAGAATTTGTTTTGTACTCTGATGAAGTTTTAAATTTTTCCTCATGTTTACCATATCTGAGTAATTGAAATTTCTCATCGTTGAACTTCATATTGTTTTCTGCAGCCCACTGAAAGATTTGGTTGATGTCCGCCTGGAGCCTTGCAGTGTTTTGCAATGGAAGACACTGTCATGCAGATTCGGGTGTCATCTGCAAAGGAAGACACGGTGCTGTGGCTGACAATCCTTGTCTATGTCGGATATGAGGATGAGGAACAAGATGGGAGCTAGTACTGTGCCTTGTGGAACAGAGCTTTTCACCGTAGCTGCCTCGGACTTTACTCTGTTGACGACTACTCTCTGTGTTCTGTTAGTGAGGAAATTATAGATCCATCGACCAACTTTTCTGTTATTCCTTTAGCGCGCATTTTGTGCGCTATTACGCCATGGTCCACTTGTCGAAGGCTTTTGCAAAGTCTGTTATATTACATCTGCATTCTTTTTGTCTTCTAGTGCATTTAGGACCTTGTCGTAGTGATCCAGTAGTTGAGACAGACAGGAGCGACCTGTTTTAAACCCATGTTGCCCTGGGTTGTGTAACTGAGGGGGTTTTAGATGGGTGGGATCTTCTTCTTAGGCCCCTTTCAAAAATTTTTATGATTGGGAGTTATGTATTGGTTGTGTTCTTTGCGTTGCTTACTGCCCCCTTTGTGGGTGGGGCTATGTCGTTGTTTTTGAAACTGGGGGACGACCCCGTGTCCATGCCCCCTTTCCCCAATAGGATGGAAAAGGCCGTGATAGGGGCTTCTTGCAGTTCTTGATGAACACAGAGTTCCATGAGTCTGGCCCGGGGGGCCAGAGTGCATGGGCATGTCATTTATCGCCTGTTCGAAGTCATTTGGCGTCAGGAAAACATCGGATAGGCTTTGTTAATCAAATTTTGTGGCTCTCTCATAAAAAATTCATTTTGATCTTCGACTCTCAGTCTGGTTAGCGGCTTGCTAAAAACTGGTCATATTGGGACTTGAGTAGCTCACTCTTTTTCCTTGCTGTCATCTGTGTAGGACCCATCTTGTTTAAGTGGGGGCCCCAATACTGGCTTTTGTTCTCGATTTTGTTGGCATAGGAGAAGAAATACTTTGGGTTTCTTTCGATTTCATTTATGGCTTTTAGTTTTTCCCCGCGATTCCTGACTCCTAAAGGATTCTTTTAGCTTAAGTTCGATGCTTGCTTTTTCTCTGCCCAGTGTCTCCTGCGCATTTCTGATATATTGCCCTCTTTTACCCGCTCTGTTATTTTTTTTCCGTCGCCTGTAAAGGGAGCGCCTGTCTCTTTTATTTTACATCTACTCCTCCTTTTTCTTAGAGGAATAAAACCTTGTGCATACATCGAGTGCCCCCGAGTTAAACTGTTCTAGGCATAAGTTTGGGTCTGTGTTGCTTAGTATATCTTCCCAGCTTATATCGGTTAGGACTTGGTTTACTTGGTCCCACTTTTATGTTTTTGTTATTGAAGTTGTATTTGGTGAAGCTCCCTCGTGACTAGTCTCTTTTTGTCGGTCTGGGGCTCCACGCATACATGTCTGAACCTCAATTATGTTGTGATCTGAGTATTTGTTTTTGATTTGGTGACATTTCTTATCAGATCATCATTGTTAGTGAAGATAAAGGTTCTAGTGTATTCTCCAGTCTAGTGGGCCCTCTATTATTTGCTGGTTTAAATTGAATTTGTGCAGAGATTTAAAAGCTCGTGTGAGTGTGAGTTTTCATCAGAGCTGCCTCCTGGTGTTATTACTGCAACAATATTATTTGCTATATTCCCCCAAATTTTGGTGCCTTAAGTTGAAATCCCCAGGAGCAAGATGTTGGGTGCAGGAGCTGGAAGATTTTCCAGACAGGGGGTCAATTTTTAACAGCTGTCCTGGAATTGCTGGGTGTTGCATCCGGAGGCTTGAAAGCTACCACAATGACTGGGTTTTGGTTCTGGGACCTTTACTGCTAAAACTTCCACTAAGTCATTTGAGGCATTAAGCAGTTCTGTGCAAACAAGTGACTCTGCAATGTACAGGCCCAACCCCCCCCTTTTGCCTGTTCACTCTGTCACATCTGTATAGTTGTAACCTGGGATCCATATTTGGGTTGTCCAAGTGATCCTTTATGTGGGTCTCAGTGAAAGCCGCGAACATTGCCTTTGCCTCTGCAAGCAGTCCACGGATGAAGGTATTTTGTTGTTTATTGCTGGCTTTAGACCCTGTATATTTGCAAAGAAGAATGTTATCGGGACTGGTGGTATTGTTGGTACTGGGGGGGGATTTTTTTCCGGCATTAGTATCTGTATCTGTTGGTTTGGGTGGGAGGCCATCGACTGTGGTTCCACTCCAGGAATGACTGGATTTGGTGTACGATTTCTGCCATTTCCTGCCAGTTTTTTTTCCTTCCTGGCACTAAAAAACCTCTCCCTCTTGAGTGGCTTTTGGCTACCCAGGTTTTCCCATGGCCTGGATGTTTTGTATCTTTTTGTCCCCTTTAGATGGTATGCCTGGCAATTTAAGTTATAGCACAGTCTTTCCTGTACTAAAGAGGTACACATTTCAGGGTGAAAAAGCTTACGGGAAAGGGAGTTTGCTTTTTCCCTGTTGTCATATGGGCATGACATTTTCTAGGGTGGTCATAGTTGCATGTCCCATCTGTTTTTCCAGTTTTCCCCATGCCAGCGGGATCCCAAGTGCATTGTATGTGCACAGGCTTGGTTTCCGTTTGCCTTGGGTTTCTGTGACTGTATTCCTGTTGGTGCATGTTTCCCTGTCTTATTCCTATCCTCCCTAGCACCAACAAAGGAGCTCCCCCAGTTGTTTTTGGTAATTTATCCTCACTATGCTATTGGAGTCTCTTGTTTGCTATTTCCTGCGGTATTTCTGGTTTGCAATATTGGTTTTATCTTATCTTTGACTACACTTGTTTCCCTACTATGGTCCTGTCCTCTATTTAGGTCATTTATATGTATTCCCTTTCCCGCGTATAATTCCCGATCCCTGACAAAATCTCTAGCTTCACCATTACTGTCTCCCAGGACAGTATCTCCAGCTTCACCATTACTGTCTACCAGGACAGTATCTCCAGCTTCACCATTTCTGTCTCCCAGGACGCACCCTCCCGCTTCACCATTACTGTCTCCCGGACAGTATCTCAGCTTCACCATTATGTCTCCCAGGACGTATCTCCAGCTTCACCATTACCCGTCTCCCAGGACAGTATCTCCAGCTTCACCATTTCTGTCTCCCAGGACAGCACCTCCAGCTTCACCATTACTGTCTCCCAGGACAGCACCTCCAGCTTCACCATTACTGTCTCCAGGGACAGCACCTCCAGCTTCACCATTACTGTCTCCCAGGACAGTATCTCCAGCTTCACCATTACTGTCTCCCAGGACAGTATCTCCAGCTTCACCATTACTGTCTCCCAGGACAGTATCTCCAGCTTCCCCCATTACTGTTACCCGGACAGTATCTCCAGCTTCACCATTTCTGTCTCCCAGGACGCACCCCCAGCTTCACCATTACTGTCTCCCAGGGGCAGCCCTCCAGCTTTTACCATTACTGTCTACCAGGACAGTATCTCCAGCTTCACCATTTCTGTCTCCCAGGACGCACCTCCAGCTTCACCATTACTGTTCTCCCAGGACAGCACCCCCAGCTCACCATTACTGTCTACCAGGACAGTATCTCCAGCCTTCACCATTTCTGTCTCCCAGGACAGCACCTCCAGCTTCACCATTACTGTCTCCCAGGACAGCACCTCCAGCTTCACCATTACTGTCTCCCAGGACAGCACCTCCAGCTTCACCATTACTGTCTCCCAGGACAGCACCTCCAGCTTCACAATTACTGTCTCCCCGGACAGCACCTCCCGCTTCACCATTACTGTCTCCAGGACAGCCCTCCGCTTCACCATTACTGTCTCCCAGGACAGCACCTCCAGCTTCACCCTTACTGTCTCCCAGGACAGCACTATCAGCCCCACATTTACTGACTACCAGGACATCACCTCCAAACCTTACAGTTTCTGACTACATGGCCAGTATCAAGGGCAGTACCATTCAGCCGGACATTTTATGTTCCCATCTGTTGTAGAAAGCTTCCAGGTTTTTTCTATGAAAGCAGCTTTGATGTTATCCTCTTTTAAAACCCTTGTGATTTTAGTCCACAGATTTTCCTCATTTGGGCATACCAAAAACACTTCTCTGTTTTAATACTGCTTGTAGCTAGTTCTGGGATATCTGCACAAGGAGCGTGACACCAATTTTTTCCCCAAAAATGACAATTTATCCATGTGGTAGCCCGTTTGTTTGACTGACCACAGACTACACACAGCTTATATGATGTGAATGGTTGATTTACTGCAAGTCTACTAGCAACCTCTTGAATATTATATAATAACCTTAAATGAAGCTTAGCTATTTGTATTTTGTTTCTAACTCTTTTTGTATATTGGACAGCTTACCGTCACGTTCCTGATTTTTAATGGGTTTGTGTTTATAAGGGCGCCTACAAACCCATCCGTTTACAGTTGCTTATTGTCCCAACGAAACTGTTTGAAAACCCGTCAAGGGTTCGGACCAGTCAAGGGTTCGGACCAGTCAAGGGTCGGACCAGACGATCTGCTCTGTCAGTGGGTCACTTATTTAAAAAAATACTGGTCGGGATTTGAGCTAACACATGAAGGATCTACTGGAAATTATCTACCCGAGTAATATGTGATTTGACTGATACAAAGTATAACTTGGTGTTGAAGAGCCGGTGGGTATCTGGCAGCTCCTACAATGACGACGTCGACCTCTTTGTTTATCAATCGCTGTATCTGGCTTTTCTATTTTTTTTTTTCCGTCTCCACCACAATAAATGCTATATTATCACTATAGTTGACGGTGCAAATTTTGGAGGAAGGACGCTTTTTCTGTAGTAATAATTGCTTCTCGTTTGTATATTGCGACCGTGGTAACTACAGGTTATATGAAATTCACGTAACGTCTCGTATTTCAAGAAAATGAAATAATGAAAGTCACTCCACTTCACTAAGTACCATTATAATACTGGTTAGTTGCTACTACAACACTGTATTCTGCTAAACACTGGTATCACTAGATTATATGCGAGTACACTAGCAGGCCAGGAAGATTATTAAAAACAGCTGACCTGTGGTAAGTTTCTGGCGACTTCTGGCACCTGCCTCTATAGGCTTATCACTTCATTTACAAATTCACCTGTTTTCAAATGACACTTTAGCCTTTATCATCAATATACTAGGGAGCCACTGTAGTATACACTATACACTATGTATACTCAATGCTTTCAGGGAGACTTTCTTTCCTCTGACACAACGTTCAATTATTATTATTTTTTTCACACGGGAAACAGGCCTATGATTCCCCTCTGGCAGTAAACTCTGCTAGGTAATGCACACTAATTAGGTTTAAGTTTGCCCAAAATGCTCTGGATAACTATGGGCTTTCTGTATGTACAACTAAATATCATCCATCTCTGTATAAACATTGTATCATGCTGAGATACAGCGGCCCGTGGCCTGGTGGCGAAAGCTCTCGCTTCACACGGTGAGGGTACAGGTTCGATTCCCGACGAGGGTAGAAACATTGGACGTGTTTCCTTACACTGGTTGTCTATGTTCACCATCAGTAAAATAGGTACCTGGGTGTTAGTGGACTGGTGTGGGTGGCATCCTGGGTGTTAGTGGACGGGTTGGGGGGCTTTTGGGGTGTTTGGATGGTGTGGGTGGCTTTGGGTTTTGTGGACTGGTGTGGGTGGCATCCTGGGTGTTAGTGGACTGGTGTGGGTGGCATCTTGGGTGTTAGTGGACTGGTGTGGGTGGCATCCTGGGTGTTAGTGGACTGGTGTGGGTGGCATCTTGGGTGTTAGTGGACTGGTGTGGGTGGCATCCTGGGTTTTTAGTGGACTGGTGGGGGTGGCCCCTGGGGACAAAAGGCCCTAATTTCCCCAAAATGCTGACATAACAAGGGAACTTTTTATTAGTAGTATGTCATAGGTGTCAGCTATGGTCTGTATAAGTTGCATCATGTACTTGTATAAAAAAAGTTTATTATTATTATCATAAAAAAAAATTATTTTTATTATTATTATTATTATTTGGGACTGATTTAAAATGTCTCCCATTCCTCGGGCACGTGACCCCCTTGGGGTTTTTAGCACTTTCCCCTGTTTAATGCCAGGTCCCCCCACAGACAAGACAAGCCCAGTTGGCACTCCCTGGAGTTTACGGGGTTTTCCCTGGAGAGAGTTGGGGGGTCAAGCCCCCCGCGGCAAATCAAACGGGAATCCTGATTAAAATATATAAAATAAAAATGAGTGATGAACCCCTCCCTGCAAAAACCTTTTTATAAAAATCGCCTTTTTTTTGTTTTACCCACATCATCAGAGAGAACAAAAATAATTTATTTTGTGGTTAGTTAGGGGGGGGAAGTTTGAAGTCTTCTACACACAAGAGTAAATAAGGCTGCCGTAACCGTTCCCCACCAGTCGAGAATATTTAATCCCTTTTTAAAACCTCTTGTTTATATATTAAAACCCCTTCTTTAACCTCTCGTGTTATACATGAGGGCACACAAATCTTAATTTATGTTCCCTGAGGTTCTTTTGCATTGTAATAAGGTCAGTCTACTATAGTTCCGTATTTTTTTGGCTAACAAAAAAGGTTTGGTGTCGAGGACCCCCCCCCCCCATCCCCAAATTTTTTTGAAAAATTTTGGAAAAAAAAGATAAAGGGTATTTTGGGCCCTCCAAAAAAATTTGGGGTAAATTTTTGCGTTTTTGGGGGAAAAAAAAAACAGCGTCCCCTGCTGTAAAATACGGAAACCCTAAACACGATTAAAGTGAATAAAAAAAAAGTAAAAAAGGGGGTGAGATTTTATTATTATTATTTTTATTATTTTATTATTATAATAAAAAAAGAACACTAAGCCAAAAGGGGATATACCCCCCAAAGGGGGAGAGAACCATCCCCTGTAAGTTGAAAATTAGCAGAAAACAGTGGGAGGTTGGCCTGTAAATTTTTAAAGGCTGGGGGTTTGCCCCCCTCATCCATTTTTGTTTATTCTAGTTAATTCTATTTCCCAATATTTTAAATTTTTGTGATGGGCAAATTAAATTTTGCAGGGGGCCACAAACAATAAAACCCCCGCTCAGCAAATTTACTAAAAGTTCTTTGCTGACTAACCCAAAGTAAACCCGTAAACGGTCCAAACATTATATCGTTTTTCAAATTTTAAAGTATGTAAAAAAAAGTAGATTTTTTTTTATTATTTTTACATTTGAAAACGTGTAAAAAAAACTTCGATCAACTTTTTTTTTGTTATATTAGAAAATATGAAAAAAAAAAATATATTTTCTCTTTGGAGCACTAAAATTTGGAAGAGATTGCTTGGAAGTTTACGGGTTAATAATTTTGGGCTTAAAAACCACAACTTATATACCAAATGACCAAAAATAAAAAATTTTTTCCCCATTTCAACGTAGACTTTCATGTCAGTTACACGTCGTACGGGGCGGGAAAACCTTGTTGACCCCCTTCGGTGGACGACCAGCCCGGAAAACAAGGGCCCACCACCGTCGCTGTCTTATTATACCCCGCGGGTAAGTCCCTGAGCCCACAGAAATTGTAAAAAATTATACCCAGATATTTACTGTCAGGATTAAATTACCCCTCCCGGTTAATAATCTTGGATTTTTAACCCCCCCAGGTTAATAATCTTGGATTTTTAAACCCTCCCGGTTTTAATAATTTTGGGATTATTAACCCCCCCAGGTTAAAAATCTTGGATTATTAACCCCCGGGTTTAAAAATCTTGGTCATTTAACCCTCCCGGTTAAAAATTTGAATTTTAAAACCCCCAGGTTAATAATTTGGATTATTAACCCTCCCAGGTTAAAAAATTTGGATTTTAACCTCCCAGTTTATAATCTTGGATTATTAACCTCCAGGTAAAAATTTGGATTATTAACCCTCCCAGGTTAATAATCTTGGATTATTAACCCTCCCAGGTTAATAATCTTGGATTATTAACCCTCCCAGGTTATAATCTTGGTTTTAAACCCCTCCCGGTTAATATTTGGATTATTAACCCCCCCGGGTTTAAATTAATTTTGGATTTTTAAACCCCTCAGGTTAATAATTTGGTTTTAAACCTCCCAGGTTAATAATTTAAAATTTTTAAAAACCCTCCCAGGTTAATATTTTTGGTTATTAACCCCCCCGGGTTTAAATTTAATCTTAATTTTTAAAACCCCCCCAGGTTAATAATCTGGAAAATTTTTAAACCCCCAGGTTAAAATCTTGGATTATTAACCTCCCAGGTTAATAATCTTGGATTTTTAAACCCCCCCGGGTTAAAAATTTGGTTTTTAACCCTCCCGGGTTTATAATTTGGATTATTAACCCTCCCAGGTTAATAATCTTGAATTATTAACCCTCCCAGGTTAATAATCTTGGATTATTAACCCTCCCAGGTTAATAATCTTGGATTATTAACCCTCCCAGGTTAATAATCTTGGATTATTAAAACCGGGCCCCAGGATTGAACCGGTTTGCTATTTTTTTATTATTTTTACTGTAGTAGTGTACTCCTGAAGGGGTCTCTTCAGCTGCTAAAAGGGTTCTTGACCCAAAGGGAACGGGATTTTCCCCCCCCGTTTCCTTGGATCGAACAAAATTGTCCCCCCCCGGGCGCTGAGTGGCCCCTTGGGGGGTTTAGTGTTCCCCTTGAAATTTTGAAATAATTATATATTCAAGGTTTGGGGGGGGGTTCTTGACCCAAGAACTGGAGTTTCGGGATAAAACCTTTTTCCCCCACGTTACCACGCGAAAGTGAGCCCTACGGGTTTACTGTTCCCACTAATTAAACTAAAGGGGTAGACTCATTTATTTTTTATTTTATTCAGGGGGGGGAAAGCGCAAAACCTGTAAGGGGGTGAAAAAGCCTGGGTGGGGGGAGGGAAGCGCTAAACCTGTAAGGGGATGACGCCCCTGTGGGGGGGGGTAAGGGGAAGTGCTAAACCTGTAAGGGGGGAAGCCCCTGTGGGGGTGGTAACGGAAGTGAAAAACCTTAAGGGGGTGACGCCCTGTGGGGGGGACCGGGAAGTAAGTCAGGTTTGATCCCCAGGGGAAGAGTTTAATTCCCCCCCTTGGATAAAAAGCCCCGTCCCGCTGGAGGCACCCCCCTGGAGGTCGTATATACCTGGGGGTGTGACGGAGGCAGTGTCAGGCGCCCCCCTTTAATAATTAACTTAAATAATGCGACGAGTCATCCTGAGGGGGCGGCGGCGGCCATCTTTGTTGTTTTTTTTATTGTTGGAGTCGGGGGCCCCCGTCCTCACACCGATTTTAAGTAAGAAAGTAAATTTTTCAGGATAACAATACAGTTCTAAATTATATACATAGCAGCATTGTGTAGAGAACCTGGGAAACCAAAAAAAGTCAGACGAGTGACTTTTTTTCTTGGGGT